GGCTTATATGAAGGGAAACAATTAAATCTTACAGAATACTTTGTTAGGCATACACTTACCAAACACATACATGGGCATACCTGGCTTATATGAAGGGAAACAATTAAATCTTACAGAATACTTTGTTAGGCATACACTTACCAAACACATACATGGGCATACCTGGCTTATATGAAGGGAAACAATTAAATCTTACAGAATACTTTGTTAGGCATACACTTACCAAACACATACATGGGCATACCTGGCTTATATGAAGGGAAACAATTAAATCTTACAGAATACTTTGTTAGGCATACACTTACCAAACACATACATGGGCATACCTGGCTTATATGAAGGGAAACAATTAAATCTTACAGAATACTTTGTTAGGCATACACTTACCACGCACATACATGGGCATACCTGGCTTATATGAAGGAGAGACAATTAAATCTTACAGAATACTTTGTTAGGCATACACTTACCACGCACATACATGGGCATACCTGGCTTATATGAAGGGAAACAATTAAATCTTACAGAATACTTTGTTAGGCATACACTTACCAAACACATACATGGGCATACCTGGCTTATATGAAGGGAAACAATTAAATCTTACAGAATACTTTGTTAGGCATACACTTACCAAACACATACATGGGCATACCTGGCTTATATGAAGGGAAACAATTAAATCTTACAGAATACTTTGTTAGGCATACACTTACCACGCACATACATGGGCATACCTGGCTTATATGAAGGAGAGACAATTAAATCTTACAGAATACTTTGTTAGGCATACACTTACCACGCACATACATGGGCATACCTGGCTTATATGAAGGGAAACAATTAAATCTTACAGAATACTTTGTTAGGCATACACTTACCAAACACATACATGGGCATACCTGGCTTATATGAAGGGAAACAATTAAATCTTACATAATACTTTGTTAGGCATACACTTACCAAACACATACATGGGCATACCTGGCTTATATGAAGGGAAACAATTAAATCTTACATAATACTTTGTTAGGCATACACTTACCAAACACATACATGGGCATACCTGGCTTATATGAAGGGAAACAATTAAATCTTACAGAATACTTTGTTAGGCATACACTTACCAAACACATACATGGGCATACCTGGCTTATATGAAGGGAAACAATTAAATCTTACAGAATACTTTGTTAGGCATACACTTACCAAACACATACATGGGCATACCTGGCTTATATGAAGGGAAACAATTAAATCTTACAGAATACTTTGTTAGGCATACACTTACCAAACACATACATGGGCATATCTATCTAATATGAAGGAGAGACAATTAAATCTTACATAATACTTTGTTAGGCATACACTTACAAAACACATACATGGGCATACCTGGCTTATATGAAGGGAAACAATTAAATCGTACAGAATACTTTGTTAGGCATACACTTACCAAACACATACATGGGCATATCTATCTAATATGAAGGAGAGACAATTAAATCTTACATAATACTTTGTTAGGCATACACTTACCAAACACATACATGGGCATACCTGGCTTATATGAAGGGAAACAATTAAATCTTACATAATACTTTGTTAGGCATACACTTACCACACACATACATGGGCATACCTGGCTTATATGAAGGGAAACAATTAAATCTTACAGAATACTTTGTAAGGCATACACTTACCAAACACATACATGGGCATACCTGGCTTATATGAAGGGAAACAATTAAATCTTACAGAATACTTTGTTAGGCATACACTTACCACACACATACATGGGCATACCTGGCTTATATGAAGGGAAACAATTAAATCTTACAGAATACTTTGTTAGGCATACACTTACCAAACACATACATGGGCATACCTGGCTTATATGAAGGGAAACAATTAAATCTTACAGAATACTTTGTTAGGCATACACTTACCAAACACATACATGGGCATACCTGGCTTATATGAAGGGAAACAATTAAATCTTACAGAATACTTTGTTAGGCATACACTTACCAAACACATACATGGGCATACCTGGCTTATATGAAGGGAAACAATTAAATCTTACAGAATACTTTGTTAGGCATACACTTACCAAACACATACATGGGCATACCTGGCTTATATGAAGGGAAACAATTAAATCTTACAGAATACTTTGTTAGGCATACACTTACCACGCACATACATGGGCATACCTGGCTTATATGAAGGAGAGACAATTAAATCTTACAGAATACTTTGTTAGGCATACACTTACCACGCACATACATGGGCATACCTGGCTTATATGAAGGGAAACAATTAAATCTTACAGAATACTTTGTTAGGCATACACTTACCAAACACATACATGGGCATACCTGGCTTATATGAAGGGAAACAATTAAATCTTACAGAATACTTTGTTAGGCATACACTTACCAAACACATACATGGGCATACCTGGCTTATATGAAGGGAAACAATTAAATCTTACAGAATACTTTGTTAGGCATACACTTACCACGCACATACATGGGCATACCTGGCTTATATGAAGGAGAGACAATTAAATCTTACAGAATACTTTGTTAGGCATACACTTACCACGCACATACATGGGCATACCTGGCTTATATGAAGGGAAACAATTAAATCTTACAGAATACTTTGTTAGGCATACACTTACCAAACACATACATGGGCATACCTGGCTTATATGAAGGGAAACAATTAAATCTTACATAATACTTTGTTAGGCATACACTTACCAAACACATACATGGGCATACCTGGCTTATATGAAGGGAAACAATTAAATCTTACATAATACTTTGTTAGGCATACACTTACCAAACACATACATGGGCATACCTGGCTTATATGAAGGGAAACAATTAAATCTTACAGAATACTTTGTTAGGCATACACTTACCAAACACATACATGGGCATACCTGGCTTATATGAAGGGAAACAATTAAATCTTACATAATACTTTGTTAGGCATACACTTACCAAACACATACATGGGCATACCTGGCTTATATGAAAGGAAACAATTAAATCTTACATAATACTTTGTTAGGCATACACTTACCAAACACATACATGGGCATACCTGGCTTATATGAAGGGAAACAATTAAATCTTACATAATACTTTGTTAGGCATACACTTACCAAACACATACATGGGCATACCTGGCTTATATGAAGGGAAACAATTAAATCTTACATAATACTTTGTTAGGCATACACTTACCAAACACATACATGGGCATACCTGGCTTATATGAAGGGAAACAATTAAATCTTACATAATACTTTGTTAGGCATACACTTACCAAACACATACATGGGCATACCTGGCTTATATGAAGGGAAACAATTAAATCTTACATAATACTTTGTTAGGCATACACTTACCAAACACATACATGGGCATACCTGGCTTATATGAAGGGAAACAATTAAATCTTACAGAATACTTTGTTAGGCATACACTTACCAAACACATACATGGGCATACCTGGCTTATATGAAGGGAAACAATTAAATCTTACAGAATACTTTGTTAGGCATACACTTACCAAACACATACATGGGCATACCTGGCTTATATGAAGGGAAACAATTAAATCTTACAGAATACTTTGTTAGGTATACACTCTCCTCCATAAGTTTGGCAACTGGAAGTCTTCATTTGATAATGTGTTAAAACTTGTTTATTGTTTGGATCTTTATTTCGTTCCTTTATTACAGTTGCTCAGAATGAGTTTAATAAATTCTACTTAAATCACCAACAGGCTTTGATAAGTGTTCCAAAATGAGACATCAGTTTGCCAAACTTATGGAGGAGAGCGTACATCATTCATAGATGCCATAAAAGTCACAATTATTGCTTGAAACCCTATGATCGGAGGATTAATTATTGCCATAAACTTGACTTTTGCATTAGTTATTAATACTTTTCATATTTGCTCCTATGCTTTGATCCAAAATGTTGATGGTTACATTGCCCATAGAGGTATTAGACCTATTTGACTATTATCACATTTTTATATTTGCTCCAGTACTTAATTCCAAACTGCAGATAGTTTTAGGGCCCAAAGAGTTTCAAATAAGTTTTGCTTCGCCAATTTATATGATTATTATCAATTTCAATTCCAATTCCAATTTTTATTCACAACTCGTGTTTCATTTTCTAACCATCTGTTCTTGATTGCTATACTGATTGATTAAATGAAAAAATGAAAAATTATATGTTTCATTTAGGACAATATAACATATGATATGCTCTCAAAAATGACTTACTTAGAGAGTGTGATAGAAGAAAGTCAACGATTATTCCCTTCAGATTCCAGGTAAAATTCTCCTAATTGGAAGGTATTTAGCTACATGTTTCCAAGAGAACTTGAACGTGAATGTGTTTAGTTAAGGTCTAGTGGGGATAAGGAATTACTTGCCCAGGTGGGTATAAAGCTTTAAGGAAAAAAGTTGCAATGCAGTCCCTGGGAAAGCAACTTGAAGGTGACAGTAATCCCTGGGGTGATATAATATTTCACATTCAAGGAAAAGTCCTCTTAAAAACATGTAACTACATGACAACTTCCCTTATGTCCCTATTGTCTGATCATATAAAAAGATGTTAAATACCATTAGCATATGTAAGTACCATAAGGGTAAGTTATTAAAAACTGAAAGAGATGGTATATTTAAAATCCCCAGCATCTCATACAATGATATTACGCACAAATAAACAATGTTGAAGAACAATTTTAAATGGAGACCAAAACTTACACCTCAAAATATTTATGGTATGATATCTAGTGTACAAGTATTGTACAAGATGGAGCATTCAGTTTCAAAATGTTTTTAATCATTCCCCATCTTAAACAATTTAGTTCGTTCATAATGAGTTGATTTATTTTTGTTTGTTTATTCAACTATTTTCAATTTTAAAACATGACAAACAGTCATTTCTCTCATTGGTGTAAATAGGTTGGAGCGCCAATGTAACGCAACTATCACAATTGAAGGGATAACTATTCCAAAGGATGCCATAGTAACAATCCCTGTATATGCCATGCATCATGATGCTGATATATATCCTGACCCTGAAAAATTCATCCCTGAAAGGTAGCCATATATTTGATTCTTTAGATTACTTCCACTTAGCATTAAAACTGGTGCAAGATTTATCAGCCAGGTGTTACCGATTCGGGGCACTACAATCTTTTCAGAATAAAATTTCCAAACTTTTCCAGGCAAAATATCAATTTACAGATTGGTTTCTATGAAGTCCTTGTATTTTCTCCATAACTTTTATTTATCGACAAACCACAAAAAATATCTGGTATAAATGAATTTCCCAGATTGACATACAATTGTATTAATTTTTCAATGACAGATTCTCTGCTGAGGAAAAGGCAAAGCGCAACCCATACTATTTTCAACCATTTGGACTTGGCCCCAGGTCTTGCATTGCATCAAGACTTGGCCAGATTGAGGTGAAATTCTGCCTAGTTAAAATTTTACAGAAACTGAGAATAATACCCTGTGAGAAGACAGAGGTAGGTCTAATTCATATTTCTAAGATCATATACAGAATTTATTTCAAGAATATATAAGTTCATTTAGAAAATGGGAATGAATATTTGGGCTTGATAGTAAAGTATTCAAACCATGACATATTTTATTTTTGGTCAATACATGGGCATAGGTCTCATTTGATCAATTTTGACAAGCCTGTGTAAAAATCCAAATCAATGAGTCAGATTTACTCATTCTACCTTTACAAAATATTTCCAGGATCCAATCCAGCTAGGACAGGATGATGGTGAGCTTCGAGCTAAAAATGGGATTTACCTGAAAGTTGAGAGACGTTTAATGGATTAACTAGCTAGAGAAGCATGAATGATGAAGACAAATTAATAATGAACCATCCTATGACATCGGAGTTCTGCAAAATATTCGAATTAGACAGGACAGATAAATAAATCTTTAGATTAATAGAATAAAATATCTTTGTAATACCGGAGAGATAATGCCCCTGGAAATTCATTCACAAGACAAAACATAAATGTTGGAAAATAATTTAAAGATTTTATTTTCACTTCATTTATTTGATTGGCAGAACTATAAAAATATTTAAGAATTGCAAATTGTAAATAACTAAACTACAAACCCTGAGTTTTTAAGATTGTTTCTGCTACAGCAATTCAGCATTGGTTCCCAGCAAAGTGCAACACTTAGATCTGACAAATCCAAAGCATATAACAAGGTACCTATTCTATGTTAAGTCAGTGCAGAGTGTTTCACTTAAATGAAGCAATAAGATGTTTTTGTAACATTTCATTTCTCTTTAAAATTTCTCTTCAAATGATGTGCATGAATATATTTTTCTATGCTATTTAGATTGTCAACTTCATGGCTGTTTGTCCTATTATACGATTCACAGTAAATTCCATTGTTTCATATTTAAGGTATACTTTGAACAATATTTACTCAAGTGGGTGCACAATGCACATTCACTTCTAATGTATCAATGCTTTATCACTGTGTTGTTCAACGATCCGTAAATTTATATTCTGTTCATTATATTGTCTTTCATGTGTACTGCTACAAAGGCTTTTTTGTGCAAGATGTATTTTTGTCCATTTTTATTTCACTAATGAGAGAGTGTAGTTTGTAAACATGGCATTAATTAAGCCTTTGTCTCTAATGTCACCCAGACAGGTTGTTGAAACGTTGGTATATGTTGGCCTGAAATCCTATTGTCATGCCTCATCTGGTAGAGGTCATTCAGGTACATCACTGAAAAGGTGGTCGTTGTGGGCCTGAAATTAGATAAATTTAAAACAATTTACAACGGCAACACCAGGGTGTAGCAAATCCCATTGAACGTCTTATGAAGTGGCAAATGTTTGCATAGCGGTCATTTCTAAATTAGACAGGACATGAATTACTACCGATATCCAGCATTCCTGGGAATTTTCAAAATTTATTTTGTTGTCATTTTGATGTTATGCATTAAGAGTTATGTCCTCAGAAAAAAAATTAGAGTGTAATTTTTGTTTTTCATTATCATCAACTGTAGATGTTATCATCATTGGACACTACAAAAGGATGCATAACATTGTTAATCATTTACAAAATCAATAGCTAAACACACCATGTTTGCATTTAAAAAACTGTACTATTTGACATAATATATTAATTTACCATTTATGTAAGGATCCTGACTGGCTCCATTAAACTGTTGTGGGTGAAATCCCCTAGGTGGCACCCCTGGGGTCTGGTTGCTAGGTAACCGATACATCATCTTGGGATCAGGGCTATTTGATCCATGACCAACAAGCTAAAATCAAATAAAAGTAAATTTGAGAAACATTTCAAAAACTATAAACCTTCAATATCTCACTCAAGCTCATGTCAATTTGCCATTAGTATACTTTTATTTATGAATTATATTTTTTAGTTTATTAACCTTAAAACCGTCTCAAAACAAAAATCTCTGTCATTTCTGTCATCTATAAAATCATGCTAGAACTGTTGTTTATTTGCTACATGGAGCTTTCTACAATGTATTTGAAATGTGACATTTTAATATTTATTTTGGCTGAATAATATCTGAATGAGAATAATGTATATTAGCCAATCAAAGCAAGGAGGATTGGCTCCCAGGGTTCCATCTCGATATTTGCCATCATAACTCATAATCATGTCATGATTACAAAATTCAAAATCAAACTGCTACCATTTATCATCCCAGAATTTGAATCGTGGGTAAAAAAATTCAAAAACACACTAGAGGTGATCAAGATATAAGTTGAAATCTTGGATTGCTATTGACTTTATAGCCAGACAATAGGGACTTTTTTCATCCAATGTGTGCTGAATGAATATCAACCATTCTCCTTGCAGTTCATCCATGCATTCCTTGTAATAGAAATGTTCAGACAGGATAAGCATTGAACAAAATGCTTGAAGATGGAATACTTAAGTTGGAACCCTTGGAGTCAAAAATAATTATCTGATAAAAGGCAATACAACACATAAAAACAACAGGCACAATTATTGAGAATTATAATTATTATTTTTTGCAAAATTCTTCAAAACAAGCAAATTCTAACAACCAGGAGAAAGTCTGATGTAATGAAACCTTGTTAAAAGACCTACCTGAGCTGGATAGCCAGCCATGCGTTGTTGAAGGAGGGCCTGTTGGGCTTGCTGGGCAGCAACCTCCTGTTGTATCCTCTGGTGCTGTAGGATCTGTAGCGACATCTGCTGTTGCTGGATATCTCGCTCACGCTGAAATGCAAGAAGAAATGTCATGGTGGTCAAAATAGAGTGGAAGATAGTGGAACTAACATGATAATCTTGAAGACCGTCTACATGTGTACAAAAATGTCATAGATTTAGATGCCTTGTTCAAATTTAAGACAGCAATAATCAAAGTATGCAGTTATTCTCTAAACCCAACCAACTCAAAACAAACATAGAATTGATTGACGAAATAGGATTAACATTATCCTTTTAATTGTGTGCAGATCAAGGATTATTAACATTTTCTACGTATACATATGGGTCATGTGATGTCCAACATACTTGAAAGATACTACATACCTGTAGGTACTGCTGGTATACTGAATGGTTGCTGGGTACCAATGTTCCTTGTGCTGTTGCACCCTGGGAGGTCAGCATTGCATTATGGGTACTTGCTGGTGCATTCTGGGTAAAAACAATAGGCTGTACAGAGGCAGTTGGTCGACTTTCAGATGTTCCTGCCACACCAATAACATTAGATTTGGATTCACTGTAGACATTGCTCTGAACTTCATTGTTTTGTTCAACTGCATTGCTAGTCTCAGTGTTGTTCTCATCAATAACCCCTGGAGACTTCTCTCTTACCTCCTCTCCAGATGGTAACTGGTTTTCTCTTTCACCATTAATAACTGAGACATTATCGGTATCATCTGTAGCTTCTTTGTTGTCATTAGCAAAGTGATTCACATCGTTTTCATCAGTAGCGAGGCTTTTAAATTTCAAAGGCTGTGATACTTTGCTTTGCTGCTCCATGTTAATCTGCATGCGGACTTTTTCAATAGTTTGTGCCACTTTTAATTCTGTCTCTGTTTTCGGCCCATCAGGAGAGAACCCAGGCCTCCAGATTCTCTTGGCAGGGGGTCCTGCCTTTTCAGGGGTCTTGTGAGGTTCCATAGGGGAATTTTGAATACTATTTGATCCTGATGACCTCCTTCTTTTCACTGGCCCCCCAAGTTGCAAGGCACCTGCATCTCCCTCTCCCCTCTCATGCTCCTTCTTCTGAGAAGCAAAGTCTAAGAACTGACTGAGAAAGGCCTGGTGGCTGCTGTTTGCAAAATCACCCTCTGAGGTGGGCTTCCCTGTGGTTGTTGCACTTGAAGTGGCCACTGTAGTGGGATTAAGACCCTGGGGTAAAGACTCTGGGCTATTTAGCTTTGGAGGTGCATCCTTAGGGGCAGGACTGATTGCCCCATGAGGCTGGTTAATTGCTGAAGATGAAATGATATTGACTTGGTCTTGGATTTGTGATGTTTGGGGTTGCTGATGTGACACAGGGGTTTGTTGTGAGGAAGGAATTTGATCCTGCAACACTGCAGATTGAGGCTGTGAGAAAGGAACTTGATGCTGTGACATAGGAGTTTGATTTTGTGACATAGGAGTTTGATTTTGTGACATAGGAATTTGATTTTGTGACATAGAAGTTTGATGTTGTGACATGGGGGTTTGATGTTGTGACATAGGAGTTTGATGTTGTGACATAGGAGTTTGAAGCTGTGCCATAGATTGCATCCTTAATTGTGGCTGAGAAGACATCTGTGTGACTGTACCATTATTCATTGATTGGCTCATTTGTTGAGAGGAGTTTAATGTTTGAGCTTGTGTTCCTTTTACCTCCTGGGCTTTCCACTGTCCTTTAATCTTTTCTACAACATATTGCTTCTGAATTCTTGGATTGGACCCTGCTGGTTGATTTATTTGATTCTTCATCAGTATGGGATTCCGAGTGGGGACTATTGGAGACATTGGAGGCCTGGTAAATCCAGGGTGCTGACTCTGAAACCAAGCAGTGCTGGATTTTTGATTGGCTGATCTCTGCTGGGTTTGACCTTGAATTTGCTGGGGCTGACCTTGCATTTGCTGGGGTTGACCTTGCGTTTGCTGAGTTTGACCTTGAATTTGCTGGGGCTGACCTTGCATTTGCTGAGGTTGACCTTGCATTTGCTGGGGTTGACCTTGCATTTGTTGGGGTTGACCTTGCATTTGCTGGGGTTGATCTATGATTTTCTGAAGTTGACCTGGCATTTGTTGGGGTTGACCTTGCATTTGCTGGGGTTGATCTGGGATTTTCTGGAGTTGACCTGGCATTTGTTGGGGTTGACCTTGCATTTGCTGGGGTTGATCTATGATTTTCTGGAGTTGACCTGGCATTTGTTGGGGTTGACCTTGCATTTGCTGGGGTTGATCTGGGATTTTCTGGAATTGGCCTGGCATTTGTTGGGGTTGACCTAGCATTTGTTGGAGTTGACCTGGCATTTGTTGGAGTTGACCTGGCATTTGTTGGGGTTGACCTGGCATTTGTTGGGGTTGCCCCATCATTTGTTGAGGTTGTTGCACCATTTGGCCAGTAGATTTAACAGGGGATGTCGGATCTTGTAATAATTGTAGCAAACTTTGTTCAGAGGGGTTTGTGTTGTCTCTCAACATCTGCATCATTCCTCCCATTTGGATGGGATTTCCTGGTGTTTGGCTCTGCTCTGTTGGATCCTCTATACCAGCCTGTAACATGGCCTGCTCTAACATATTGCCCATTGGCTGTTCCTGAGGCGGCATATTGCCTTGATGGACCATGCTAGGCAGCATCCCACCTTGTTGAGGATGCTGGCCTCTGGCAATGTACATCTGCTTTGCCTGCATCATATTTGGGAGCATCCCAGCATGTGATGGCTGCATCTGAGACGAACTTGAACCAGTGGCTTGATTCATGTTATTAGGAGATTGATTCATGCTGGTGTTTGTAGTATTGTTAGCTCCAATGTTTTGTAACATTGCCTGTACCATACCTCTGTGTGTTTGCTGTTGACCCATATTTCCCTGAGGCATATTTTGATTCATATTCTGTCCTTGTGGCATATTTTGACCCATATTCTGTCCTTGTGGCATATTTAGACCTATGTTCTGTCCTTGTGACATATTTTGGCCCATATTTCCCTGAGGCACGTTTTCACCCATATTCTGTCCTTGTGGTAAATTTGGACCAACACTCTGTCCTTGTGGCATATTTGGACCCATATTCTGTCCTTGTGGTATATTTGGACCCATATTCTGTCCGTGTGGCATATTTTGACCCATATTTCCCTGAGGCAGCACCTGTACCATATTTCCTTGAGACATATTTGGTCTGATATTTCCAAGTTGTATGTTTGGTCTGACATTCCCCTGCTGCATATATTGACCAATAATTCTTTGCGCATGAGGAGAATTTTGTACAATATTTGGTTGGAGAATATACTGAGCTTGATTTAAACCTCCATGTTGTAAATTTGGCCTAATATTTTGTCCCATATTTGCTTGTGCCATATTTGGCCTCATGCTTTGAACCACATTATTTGGCATAATCTGAGGAGTGACAGTACCAGATAGAGCAGTATTTTGTGAACTGGTAGTGACATCTGTAGTGGCTGTTCCAATAGTTGTTTTCACCTGAGGTATATTAGGCAAAACTTTCATTGTAAGAAGTCGAGGGTTCTGCTGATAAACTGGTGGATTGGGTGAAGGCTGAGGGAGGGATTGTCCTTGAAGGCCTCTGATGATCTGTGAAGGTTGCCTTGCATTATTCGGATGGACTCGCTGAATCTGGCGTACTCCAGGCATACGATGAGGTATACTCCCAACTGGATTTTGAGGATTGTACCCAGCGGGATTCTGAAACCGAGGGTCCGGATTGGAACCCTGTGGTCGAATCATTTGATACTGATGGTGGAATCGTTGTCTGATTACATTCTGGGGCTGGTTCAATTGATGTACCTGGGGCATCCCCCCTGGTTGGCTGTTAACAGAATCAGCATCACTATCAGATGTAAATTCAGAGTAGCTGCCCTTTGGTTTTGGAATATTTCGGAGCTTGGTGCTTGGGGATGCAGCAAATTCCTCCAACCATTCTTCAGGATTCTCCATCACTGTTTTATTCAAAGATTTTGATTGGTTGGGAGTGTACTCGTTGTCAGAGTCTGAGTTTTTCCTGCGTCGTCTCCTGCGTCCTGACTGGCTGAACTCCTGAAAAGAAAATAGAGCATTTCATTAAAGAAGGTTAAATGTGCGATGAGCATGGGTAGCCATCATCCTAAACACGAGTTCATTTCATAACTAGCTCATCAAAATAGTAGAATGTACCATTGTACCTCTTGTAAAGTATATTATATCAATAGGTAAACACAAGATTCAAAAGGGAAAAGACGAAATCATATTTCAAACAGAGCAAAAATAGAAACATGCAAAAGGCTTATAAACCCATAATATCTAAACGATGATTCATAATGCAAATTGATACTAAGAATTAAGCCCATATTGAACATACCTCATCTTCTCCATATTGCACAGTCTTGACCGTTCTCTTACTATGGGACCTAGGAGTGTGCTTGGTAAACCTAAACAGTATATGTAAACAAAAATTGGGCAATCTAATATGGTGAAGTAAATTCAATTTAGTAAGAATAAATATATATGGTATATATTTCTATAGATTCAGATGTGAATGATGCTGCTAGACAGTAGATAAGTATGTAAATAAATGTTGATTTCTACAAGTGGGTGGCCATATTGGGTGGTTGATAAAACTGAGGGGAAAAACTTGTATTGAAAATTTGCCAGCACTAAATATCGCCTTAATACGAACACTTGAGTGCTTATATGAATTATAAACAATGGGATAGAATTCTGTGAAATTAAATTATACAAAGTTGAAAATTCTCTGATAACTCCAGAGATAGAATCTGTTCAAAATGATATGTGACACATTTTGGATAAAAAGCAGATTTATGCTGTATAGAGGGCAGGGTGCTGTTGTTTTTTTATATGAAATATACTGTATACAAGTTAGTGTTGTACCTTTCACTTGATACTATGAACTCTTCACCAGAATCATTGTCATCTTCAACTATGTACTTCTTAGTGATCTTGGTCAGGTGCTTCTCCAGGTTGGTTGACATCTTGGAATAGTCTGAAATAACATAAGATTTTATAGCTTATTAGAATAAGAATAGGTTTCAGAAACAAATCAGACTTGAAAATAAGATCTTGAAAATGGAATCATCAGATCTGCAGGTAGAATAAGATCACTGATCAGGGTTTAGAATAACATCCAAGATTTTGAAATAATCTTGAGTAAGATCAGATTTTAAAATATTATGTGGCACTGTGACAGTCAGACTCAAAGAAATATCAAAGTAATTAATGGATATCACATAAAGTAGGCACATAGCGTTTCTCGGCTGCTTAATACTTCTGAATATTGAATTCATATGAAATTTTAACAAAAACAATAACTGGGCAAAGACGTACCACTTTCCACTCCATTGTATTCCCTGCAGTTCTCAAACATCAGTTGGAAATCATCTAAGAATTGCATCTTGCTCAGGTAGGCCTTGTCATTCAGCTTCTTCTCAATGCTTGACATATCCATTGGAGTCTGAAATTTAGAAACATTTTATTCAATGATGGTGAAATTTCTTGCACCTCATTAAAAAGGGAACACATCAATTTTGACAATAATGATTATATTGTTAACTATTGTCAACTTTATATACTTTTTCCTCATAAAAATTGGCGATGCAATGCTACAATTTTTACAGGGATACACAAAAAAGAATACGTCCAATATGACTGAAAATAAACAGAAAGGTCAAATATTTTGCAATGACTTGATTAGTTGAAGAATGACATGTTACATGATACAAATATCATAGCATGCCTATGCATTATTTTGTCATGATTGAAAATGGCTAACCACAAATTGAGGACACCATCAGAAAGCTATTATTGCCATATCCAATATCAACCTCAATGTAATGATATTTGACTTACCTCTATAATTTCAGAATAGCCAGGTGCTATAGATTCTTGCACAGGTTCCCAAAAAGGCCAAGCATCATCGTGATTTCTCATGTTGTCTAAAACTGAAAAATACCAACAAACAACATGAATCTCATGATGTCTAACACTGGAAAAGTACCAACATGGATCTCATGTTGTCTAATACGGGAAAAATACCAACATGAATCTCATGTTGTCTAAACTGGAAAAATACCAACATGGATCTCATGTTAACCAACACTGCAAAATACCAACATGAATCTCATGTTGTCTAACACGGGAAAAATACCAACATGAATCTCATGTTGTCTAACACTGGAAAAATACCAACAGGAAATGAAACAGCTTCACGAGGACTTGGTTGACTCAGGGTAGTCTACCTTTATCATACATTCATATCCAAATGGATCAAGAATATATAGTTCTATGTGATACAAATACATATATATATAAATAAATACACATTTAAAGGGCAACTAATAAAAGTAGGTTGGTGAGGGAAACATGTGCATGGCCTTTGAAAAGATTGCTTAAAATTCCAACATTTTGCATTCTCTAGTCTTCACTGCAGCTGATTGACAACATGCTTCCTGAATCGAATATGTTCCTTCTCTAAATCAACTTTATTGTGTAATAAAAATCATTTTCAAAGTAATGTATTTTTAAGGAACTTACCCTTATACATGCCAGCATAAAGATCTGGATCAACCCCACCCTCTCTAAAAATAGAACATAAACAAAATAAATAACTGACAAACAATTATTCATGTAAGTCTTACAGTTACGATTCGGATTGTACTACAGTTGCAACTGTAGTACAGTTACAATTGTACTACAGTTGTAATTGTACTACAGTTGCAATTGTACAACAGTTGCAATTGTACTACAGTTACAATTGTACTACATGATGTCCAATCAAGATTCATTCCAAGCCTTTATAAGAAAAGTCTAGTATAAAACTTACGGGATAGTTTTCTTCTTAGATATCTGTCTCTCAAAGTTGACTAGTTCTGGAGGTAGTTCTTTACCCTGAGATAAAAGGTAAGCTCGATTTTCACGCATTTGAACTCTTTTGGCTCGCTCTGAAATGAATAAAAGCAAACATTTTTAGAAAAACAGACAAATAATATGACATTTTTGAAGAAAGGAATTGTTTTTGTTTGAGTATGTTAAACTTAGGCTAGTGTATAGCCCCCTGAACCATTCTAATCATTTCATAGGCTGATTAAACCAAAGATGCATTGACCCAAATTGCCCCAATCATTTCAATTGTGTTAGACAGTAATGAAAGGTGTGTACCTTCTTTAGCCTTGAGTCTCTCCTGTCTCTGTTGCTCAAGTTCACGTTGTCTCTCAGCATCATCTTCTTCTGTGTTAGCCCCTTCATCTTCGTGCTTAGCTGCTGCATTCTGGAGATACAATACATAACATCATTCAGGATCAGCAATAGGAGTGGCCTACTCCCTTCTCCCATTATTTGAATTCAATTGGGAAATCTTGCATCTTAAAGATTTTGACTCCCAGAGCAATTTTTTCACATTGGGCTTTGCTGCACCATAGGCCAGATGGAAGGAAGTAACCCTTGATCAGAGATGACTTTTGGCTAGGTCCAAAAATGTCACCTTTTTCAAGGAGAAACACGCAAAAACATATTTTCGTTTTTTTAATTCAAACATCTCACTTAACTCTCACCTTCATTCTACCAACAGGAAGATTTTCATAATTTACCAAAGTAAATCTACTCACGGCTTCAGCTTGTGCTAGTTTCTTTGCTTCAAGTCTCCTTGAGGTCCTCTTAGCCTGGGATTCCAATTGTCTCCTTCTGATTGCCTTCTCCTGAAACACACAGAGTAACAAACATAAGAGTTGTCATAGTTACTTAGAGATCTGGCTCTAAATATCAAGTTCTACAAGTCTTCATTGAGCTAACTTGGAAAATTGATATTGGACTCAAAAATGTCTCCTAAATACAAGACTGAAACTTTTGACATCAAATTACTCATATAGATGGTGCATTTAGCAGTTAGTGGAATGATTGCAAAACGTATAAATTGAGGATTTCAGTGTTCTCTGTCTAAGAAAGTACCAAAGACAAGGTTAAGTATGTTCAACTTATATTCCCTATAAAAGCCAAAGATTTCATCACAGAGTCTAGTTGTACACAAGAGAGCCAAAGGGTAATAAATCACAGAATAAGAGAAATGTTGATACTCATCACCAATTTTTCACTTTTATATCACTCTAACTTTTTATCATTCAAAGAATTCAAATAATCATCATCACAGATGCAAATTGTAATTATTTTCAATTAATCAAAGATGTCACACAATATTCATTGATTTTGTCTTATCACACGTTGAAGCATTCCAGTCATTAACGCTACTCTAATTTCTATATTGCCTTTTTAGATTAAAAACAGGAAAAGCACATGAAAGTCAATTAGGAGATAATTGAATCCACCTCATACTATATTAGTGTGATTACATACATTCAATTTTCTAATGGACTATTTATTCAATTCTGAACCAATAATAGAAAATGAATTAAACAGTGAGATTTTACATAAGGTTTCCAAGTTTCGTCCGCTAATAGGATTATACTAATACATCATGATTGAAACTGTTAAAACTCTGCAATCTTCCTGGGAACCTACAATCACTCACTTTCAGACCATATGTTAGTTATTTTGACATGAACAAATGTTACAAATTCAATTTCATCATTTTATGGTTCAATCCCCTAATAAGGATCTTCTGCTTTATGGTTTTCATTTGTCAAGAGATTTTTGAACCCTTTCTCTTTTATTAAAGTTCATAATTTACATCTTTTGGTACAAATGTTACAAAATTTATATCATTATGAAAGCATTTAATCCAGAATTTAAATTAGCTCCACTGCTTTTTGATCCTTTTCTAAGCAACAGTCAGTATTTTCTGATGATATTTTTCTTGATTTTTCTGAATTTAAAGTTACATTTCATGATTTAGTTTCAATCATGAAGGGCAAAGGAAAACCTGGATAATGCAATAAGATGGTAAGATGTCACCACCTTATAAAAGTGTGACAATCGTTACAGATGCAAACCAAAGTCAGAATGAAGGACCCACGGTCCTGTGCTCACACAGTTTGGAACCTTCAGAGGAATGTATATCCTGACTTTCAAACAAAAATATTGATTTGGATTTGTAGTCTCGAACTTTGAGAAACTTAGATAGCACAGTTGTGTGACCTAGTTTGATGACCTTTGACCTTGAAAATTTTACTTAGTCAGAGCTCAGTAAGGTCTTTTGTGATTAAGCTGACCAAAATTTACATCCAAAAATCAATTTGAAAAATCAACTTTTTTGACCTTTCGAAGGTCACTGAAGGTCAACTAAAGGTCAAATCCTAAAACCAATGTCAGATTTGAACTGGCAACTTGTAGATTCCTGGCAACTTGTAGATGATTTTCAAAAATAAATTTGGTCAAATTGAAGCAAGTTGAAAAATAACTTATTTTTACTGTTTTTTGACGTCAAATATCTCAAAAACGGTAAAAATTTGATGCTGACATCAAGCTTTTTGTCAAATTTTATAGAGTAAACACCAAAAACTGTAATTCCAAGAGCTTTGAAATCTTCAGAGGACATAAGTTGCATATACAGCAACTACTAAAAGTTATTTGAAAGTTCTACTTCAACAAAGTGTCTAGTATTTACAGAAAATTTGACTTTTTGACGTCAAAATCCGCAATTTCTCGGAAACTGGGCGAACTTGGGAAATGGCGATGATAGGTCAAATAGGCATTATGGATATGCATAAAATGAATATGGCTATGACTCAATCCGAATAGCAGTTTTAATTTGTGCGGCCAATGTTGACGGACGGACGGACCACGGACGGACCAACGAACCGACGCCTGGTCGATCCCATAGGCTCACTGTGTGAGCCAAAAATTATGTCTATATAATATCTAAATCAACCAATAAAACACTAATATAATTTTGACAAATAAAGCTAGCCACAAGAGGTCCAAAAGAAAAACTTATAGCTGTTAAATTCAAGCAAACAAACAAGCCTGAGATACTCCTTGGGTAGCAGCACCATTGCTGAAGTTACATTTAAAGTTGTTAGATTAGTACACAATAAAATACAAGGAAACGATGAAACGTATTTGCTTCAAAGATATTTTATCAAAGGGTTACTGCATGAAGGGTTTGGATTACAGCATATAATAATAATATTGGTATAAGAGGGCAGGTGCTCATATAATATAGTGTGTAATGCATCATAATGCTGTAGGGGGGGGGGGGGGGTATAATGCAATTTTCAAGGACTTTACAAGGATTAAGAGAACTAAGAGGGTAACTTTTTTCAGATAAGATCCTTTCAATGAACAGTTTCAAAACAGAAAAAGGGTTATTTTTACATGTAAGTTAATTGACCAAATGACGGGCACCATTTATCATATCTAAGCACACTGACAACTGCCAATAATACCTGCCAACTACCAATAGCATTCATGTACATTTCCTCACTCAGGTACCCTGGCCTGTATCAATCTTGTCTAGGGGTCTGTACACAATCAAACTTGAATTTGTTGATTCCAAATATGTACGTACAGAGTCCTTGTTTCTGTTATAAGTATGTCAACAATAGGACCCCTGTCAATAATACTTCAGCAGTAATGTAACATCAAGAGAATGAAAACACACATCTTGAACATTTCAAGACCTCTTAATAACAGCTCTACATTGTACTGATGACTGGTTGGTGTTCCTGGAGCTTCTAGATTGCTGATTCCCTAGACTTTTGATTGCAATTACCCAAAATTGTCACAATGCAAGCTGGGGGTATTGTCTTTCGTCTTTGGTACACTGCATTTGAGTGTCTTGAACAACAGAATCTGAAGTGTCCCGATAAAAGTAGGTGTGATTCAAAATGCACAATCTGACCAGATAAAATGGCAAACTTTGAAAAACTGTCTGGCGAGTCTGTTTTTCAATGTTTATCAGTACATGCAGTTTTTTGTCCAAATTGTTGAATAATCATGACCCTGATATATATAAATGTTTCAAGCATATTTTAAGAGATGATGTCACGAGGCTACGCTATCACTCAGGTGATACAATACCCAACCAAGTCCAATCCAGGTCCCTAACAGTAACTTAAGAGAATGAGACAAATACTAATAACAATGAGACAAAGAATAATAAGGAATAAAAAACAAAAGCTACAGGATAACCCAAAATAAATGCAACCCATACCACAGTTAATAAAATTAACCCTTGATGTGCGCTGAGCGAGTTTACTTGCTTTGACGTCACATTCCTGATAGACGATGGCAAGTTTACTCGCTTGATAATGTTGAAAGTGTTTGCAAAAGGTCAGAAGTCTTTAAATTAAATAATTTGCCGCTATTCTTCTCAAAATGTGATGTTTTTGATAGTTGATGGTGATGGTGTTGTTAACATTCATACATCATATTTTTACAAAATAAGTTAAATAGACACAATTATTAATGAAACAAAAATATTTTTTAACTTTTTATTTTGAAATATTGACCGGAAGTTTGAAACCAGAAGTGACCGGAAGTGAACCTTTTTTTCATTTTTGGGATTAAATTGAAGAATATTTATCAAATATGAGGAAATCGATCAAAATGTATGATCAGGTGATGATATTAGAGGGAAATCTATCATTTTAATTTGTTAAAAATGAAGGAAATATCATTGATATGTGGGTAAATGGTCATTAGAATTTTTTGAAAATTTTCAGACAAATCTCTGTCATAAACTTTGACTTCAAGTCAATGTATAGGGTTAGATGACCCCTTCATAAACTCTTAAATGCTTTTTCATGGCATTTTTACTATCTTAGCTACCATACTGCATCCATATGATACATGCACATGCATCATACTTCTGGTATGATCAGGTTCTATATGCATGTCTGAAAAAAGGAATCAATCCCCAAACAAGTCAGTCTCCATGGAATGCACTTCCAAAACAAATCAGCGCTCTAAGGGTTAAAACTAATAGTTATACACCTTTTATTTTGCCCCCATATCAAGCTCAGATGATATCAACCAAGGTCTGAAAGTATTGTTTCTGGTATCCAAATGGTTCATTTTTATGGCCTAGCAAAAAATATGTTCGATTTGACCAACTAGATGTTTTGGACACTACTGAATGTGCTGCGCAAAGTTGTCAATTAGGAGTACACATTCCTTTCTTTGGATATCTCTGATTTATGCAGTTATTGCTCAGTCTCTGATTGTCTGGGTGCTGTTTTCATAGACATTGTCCTTCATATTACCTCACGGATAGAAATCTGAGGAGTTCAAGTCGGGTGATTGTGGTCTCCACTCGGGATCACATCTACCCTTTGCATTCGTTTGACTTCACTTCTTAAAAGAGAGCTTTGTCTTCACTCTTTCAAACTAAAATAAACCTGTGAAGTCACCGCGCCAATCAGTGTTCGTCGGCCAAATTTGACCGACGTTCTATATATGGTCATTCCTTCTGACGTCATCGTTGAGCCCGGAATTGACCAATGACACGCGCATATTTAATTAGCACGCATTTGCCGTATGTTTCTTCAAGCTCGCTGATTGTTGGAAGAAAGGTCAGCGCGTTGGTCAGAAGTAATTAATTACCCAAACTGACACCGGTACCCGTCGAGGGGGCGGGGCTACTAAACTGTAATATGGTCTCTACTAGGCAGAGTGTAGTTTAACTAGACTCTGCGCGCAGGGTAGATCACATCTCATACTGATCATTCAATCTTCAAACCATTGCTCCGGCCATTCTAACTTTTGGTTTCAAGTGTTTGGACTTGCTCTATCCTGCTGAACCATTGTTCCTCAAGAGTGATGTCATTAAAACGTCCTCATTGCCAGTTCAGTAGGAGATGTGACCTTGAGTGGGCCCCACACTCACCTGACAAGAACCTCTAAGATTGCTATCTTTGGGGTCACATGAGGGACAAAGTTTATGAAAGCCACTCCAAAATAAACAGATACTAAAAATTAGCAATTACTACCAAGATCAGAGATATTTGAAGAAATGAATGTGTCCTCCTAATTGACAACTTTGCTATTCAGGATGGACTGAAACATCAAGTTGGTCAAATCTAACATGTTTTTGCTACGCCATAAAAATGAACCATTTGAATGCCAGAAACAATACCATCAGAACTTGGTTGTTATCATCTCAGCTTCATATGGGTGAAAAAAGGTCTATCACTATTAGTTTCATTTTTATTTACTGTGTTATGGGTTGCATTAATTTTGGGTCACCCTGTATTACACTGCAGAAGGCCTCTTTCAAAGGGCCTTTTTGTGTTAATTGTAATTAACACATTTATTTCTCTGGTTTGTAATAACTAATGTAATCATGTTATGATAAAAGATGTCAATAAAAGTTATATATATATATAATTAGCATGTTGTTCAAATGCATGCCTTTGCTACTTCTCTATAATGTTTCATCATTTTAAAATCTGAAAATGTATAGTTTTTATATCATTCTCATTAAGTCTTGATTCAAGACCATGGGGCCCCTCCCTTTATTTACTTTAACAACAGAGTTGCAAAGTAGATTAGAGGGGGGTGGGGGTTTATGGTGTCTGCAAAGGTGCTTTGAGACAATTAGATTTCTTATATACAATATATATTGAGAGAGAATCAGTATCTATTTACAATGTCAATAACTATGTACGTCATTATTGATGAATCTGAAGTAATTTTTGTTTTAGTATGTTTCTGTCTCATTGTGTTTTCTAGTCTTTTGGTCTTTTTCTGTTTATTGTGGGCCTTGTCCTTTTGATCCTCTTTCTTTTCTTTTTCTTTTATTGTTTTGCTTCTGGATTGTTCACTTTGTTCATTTTGTTCTGTTATGTACTGTTAGAAAATTCCACAGTTGACTTTTTGAGAAAACGACACTTAAGTAAAGCCATATTGATAGCCGTTTATAATCGCAGCCAATGGGGAATTTCCAAAATTCAAACGCCAATATCTTTGGAAGTAGGAAAAAGAAAAATTTAAACCTTCCTATTTTGAAGATAGTCATGTTATTGTAACATCCTGGGAATATGGGCTTTATTACTCTAGAACTGTTCTGCAGGGGGTCTTTTGAAGATTGATAAATTAACACGGAGCTCGTAAATATACAAATTTTTCGAGGACTGCTATTATATATTATTAGATATCAAAAATATATGTTTTAATGATACTAAAAAAAATTGTGCATTATATATAGCAAGTGCAATTCAAGGATTTTATTTCCTTAACTGGCTCCACTATATCACTTATAGGATAACTTAAGACTTTATAAAAACAAATTTTAAAATTAAAACCATATGAATTGTCATACATTGTTAAATGAGCCAAGAGACAAAACAGGCTTATTCAAAATAGAGTTGGTTAAATTAGCATGTCTGCATTTCAATTAGCACTTGACAATTAAAAAACAGAGCATGAGGATTTATAGACCAGCGTGTTATATGTAACAAATCACTTACTAGTTTGCTTACTACATATTCGTTAACCAATCACACTAACATCATTTTAACAAATCATCCAATAGGGACACTGCATACACAGTCCATTCTCAGGGACCTCACTACATGTAGTTCTGTTCCGTAAGAAAATCATTTTTAAGAATTTAAACTGGGGAACCTCAACAAAAATATCTCCAGCCTAGAACCGAAATGATTGAACAAGGTATTACAGACACTGCTTTCCCAACTGTTGAAAACAATGTTACGGTTGTCAAGCAAATGCTTCATGATAGGAGCGACAAATTTGAATGTAGACATTATAACAGAAGTGCATCTGTAGCTGTTATTATCTTTTGCGGCATAGCCATGTACATTCAAATAAACTGGCTGTTTCTTTCATTCAAAGGAAAAAGATTACATATCCGAGAGAATACATTTCATTTTATACAAGTTTTCGTTCACATTTGCGGCATACTCAAAGAACTCATAATAGGCATTCTTGTGGCCTTGGATTTCAATGAATGTAACTTGCCAGGGAGTTTTACATGGAGGAAATACTTACCAATGTGTAGGCTGAGTATGAAATTCCTTTGCTTGATTGGAATTGTTAGGATGGTAAAAGTTACTCAACCAAATAGACGGATTCCCTGGTGGATAATTTGTGTAATGTCAGTCATAGTATGTCTGTACTGCGCAATACTTATCATAATACCACACCACAATGACCTTATTTGGGTGGACAATGTAGCTGACATATGCTGTTTTGGCCTCACAGTAATTGTACATTCTAAGATGGTATGGTCCTTAAGGAAGAAGATTTTTACGATACATATTCAGCCTAATGTCAAAAGCAGACAACATCAGGCAAGCGTGCAAACACCAGTCGATGTGTTCCAAGTCCATAAGCTTGAAGAGATGCATGGCCGTCAGAAACAGCCAAATGTAATAGATGATACATTCAAGATTGATAAGATTGACACGAATACCCATCAGACAGAATCAAACGTACAAGCTGATACGCAAACTCATATTGTTGATGCATTCCAGATTCATATAGATTTGGATGAGTTAGAAAATAATGAGGCAACACAAGAACAGCCACACATACAGAATGAAATAATCAGTGACATTAGGACGACATTTAATACTTTTATAAAAGAAAATGCCAAAGGAGTGATGAATAAAACTAATCCAAAGAAGGCGCATAATACAGTGGAGTGTCACAAAGTTAAAAAAAACTGGTTTAAGAATAAGATTTCTCCATTTTCTCCATCTAAGGCTTTTGATGAATCAAATCCTGATGGGAAGCATCATCAAAATCAACAAAAGCAGCTTAGTATCATCCACCCATTACGACGAAAGGATTTCATTTGGGAATACAAATTGATTGCCAGTGAAGTTGTTGTCTTGCTTATTGCAGCACTGTTTCACATGGTTATACAGATAACATTTAGAATGAATGACAGTCAATTGTTCCATCTCTTATATTCAATATCTGTATTGTGTCTTTACAGTATCATCAAATGTTTGAAGTTTCTCACCAGTAGGGCTTTACGTCATGAATTTATCAAGTTTTATTCGAGGAAGAGTACGCGAGTGAAGTCAGTAGACTTATACTGAAAGTTTTTATGAAATATATACTTCATTTATCACAAATATGTTGAAACCTGTGTATCCGAACACCTGGCTAAGATGAACAATGGACACTGTCGTGATTTTATCAATCGGTTACAACAAGGACAACATAACTTGAGTCTTGAAATATCAGAGAAAGTTGTAAAGCATGAAGCCTTTAAAGAAATGCACCTATTTTGTATATTAAACTAACTAAGTGAGAATATTCCAATGATATAATAAATCATATATTCCATTTTATTTTTGGTGAATACATGGTTCTCTTTCCCTCAGTATATTCCCCTTGCCATTTGGGCTGCGGGAAATATACTGAGGGTAATATATGTATGTATATAGAATATAGAATTAGTATGTATATAGAATTAGTATTTATATAGAATATAAAATTAATATGTATTTAGAATATAGAATTAGTATGTATATAGAATATAGAATTGGTTTGTATATAGAATATAGAATTTATAGTTTGTATATATTGTAAAGATGACAGCTCCTGTCAATAAATTTATGTGTATGTATGTATCTTTTATTCCCGATTTCAAATCGTATTTCATATAAACTAATTACATTGTTGGATAAAAATTGCCACTTTCGCTTCCATTCAACCAATACAGTATCACGAGACCTGAGTCATTTATGATCTACTGCACTGGAGACTACAAATAAGTTCTCATAGCCGTTAAATTAATTTTGATTAATTTTTGATTTTCCTATCATATTACCAATTATATCTACAATATCTTGTATTTTCAAGGTTTATTCTATCTGTTTTACATCCTAATCAACATACAAACATACATGAACATAGATAGATAGGTGCATGGCAGTACTCATTCCATATTCAAACATGACCGTGCTCTATTCGAATTTCTCAACCAATCAGAATGCAGCATAGCCAATATAGAACGTTCTCTAATTCTCCATAGATGCACGACCATGCTCTATTCAATCTGCAATTTGCATTGTTTTGAGTGACGTCACATCTCAGCTACACATCTGGGGCTCTGTCCGGGGATAGCTGTTCTTTTTTACTCCCTCCGTAAATACTGTAACTATTTAACTATGGCTAACTTAACTATTTAACAAATCTAAAACGGGGAGTAAAATAGAACAGCCCAAGAATCTTGACAGCATGCGTATTCTTCCTTCATGCCCGTTCCACAGACACGGCTTTTACTAATTTTTATGTTTGAATCGGAATAAATAATGATAGGCCATTCAATATGGTGAAATTCAGCACTCGTTGGACAGAATGTTAGTACAAATGCACCCACCTTCGGTTCGTGCTTTGTACAACATTCTGTCCAACTCGTGCTGAATTTCACCATATTGAATGGCCTATCATTATTTATTCCTTAAATAAATAATAGAAAATAATCAGAGAGTCTGAGACAAATTTGCAGATATGGTCATTCATTTACATGTTCTGTGTTTACTAGACTACTGTTGTTCTTGTCATGGCAACGAGCAGTACCCAATCAGAGTGTGCTATTTAATGTCTATTTTATCATGCATGTTTGGAGTGATATACATATACATACATACATCATCTCATTGATGCCTAGGTCACATTTGCTCCGATTCATTGGTCGACATTGCTTCAAATTAACCAAACTTTTTCTAAATCATGTACAAGTTCCCAGGAGTTCACAACAGACCTCAAATTTGAAATTTGATCTTCAATTTTGAACAAAATACTCAATCAGCCGGGCATCGTCCAATGAATTGGGGCAGATGTGACTAAGGCATAACATAGGCAACATGGATGGTCATTGATCACAATGTTAAACAATCTAGCTTCTCAAGTGATCTGATTTTCCAATGCAAGGACTAGTTTATTGCAACCCATCATCCATTTGAGAAGAGATAGCACCAAGTGCTATATCTAAATGGTTAAATACTCGAAAAAACATTTTTGGAAAAACTTTTTTAAAGTTTTAATCTAGCCCCAATGAAAAAAGAAAACTAATTTTCCATCTAGTTTTCACCTAATCATAAACAATTCTGCTTAAAATTGGAATGCATGTATTAAATCAATGAAAAATATGGCATAATTATCAGTTGCCATTCAATGTAAACTAACTTTAATTATCACTGATTTATGAATTTTACATGAAAATTAATTAAACGAAAATGTATGAAGGTTAAAATTAGATGTAAATTAAGACTGTTTTTATTCTGAAGATGAAAATTACAAATTGTGAAAATAAGGTTCATGATTTTAGAAAAACAAATTCCTTAATTTCAAAATGGCGGAACTAGTTGAAATGTGAGAGAATTATTTCTCTAATAAAATTGAGCATTATAACCTGGATGGTGATTAGACTATATGTATTTTGAAATTTGATCAACATGATGACTATAAAGTCTTAAAATTCAACTATATACCTGACCAAATTTCAGTGAAATTGGTCACCACTAATAGTTTGTTACCCCTACTGCAATTTCTGACATAGCAAGGCTACAAAACCTATGGCAGTTATCAGGGTTCACCTCATTAAAGTTCAGGATCCTATCTACTGGTCAACTCAAAATGACAAAAATTCATTGTGTGTAAGACAATTTACAGTTTTTGCCGTTTTAATATGTATTTGTAAATGTCAGAATCTGCAGAAGGGTTGAGCTAATGTTGAGCAATCTCTTAGAAATTTGATCAAGTGAATGTTACGACTCCATGTAGATTCAATGATTAACTATGAAAGTTGACTATCTATGAAAGTTGACAAAAAGTCTGTTTTTGGGACACCTATAGGATTATCTGCATTCTCTATAGATTCAGTTAACATCTTGCAAAAAAACTTATTAAATATATCACCATTTTCACTCAAATAAAAATGCCAGTCTAATAATTAGGAAAATGTTCATAATTTTCTGCATGGTTTACTTATTGTATCATTACACATCCGTTAAGTCATGCATGACTGATATTGTACTGTGTAAGAATCAATACATAGTGATTTATGAAAATGGCCAGAGAGATGAGGGACCATTAAATTATAAATGCATAGATACAATGACATATTGGAATAAAATACAAGGACACTAGCTATCTGCATGTAATTAGATATGCAAATATACTTTAATTAGTTTCTATAGAAATGTGTGTCCCCACAGCATGCAGAAACCACCACTTCTTATTCAATTTTGTTGAAGTAACCAAAAAAACAGAATTAAGATTTTTTTATTGTTTATGTCGGTTTTCACTAACAATAGGGCATCTGTGATTATGTATCCCCTCAATAACTACCTAATTTTAAAAACCCAGTCTACAAAATATCTATTTTTTGCAATTCTATATAATTTAAATGATAGACTGCATCCCTATTAACTTTAATACTTTCTATTTTCAGTTGTTTACAGTTTATCTTGAATTTCAAAACGTGACCCTCGTGAATTTATTTCGATGGTTGAGTTCATGTTCAACTGTATTATATGCCCTGAAATATGCTCATTTTTTAACACTTCAATTACTTCGAGTCTGTCATAATAGACAGGTAGAAAATGATGATGTCAGAAGAACAAAAGAACTAAGAAGATTTGAAAGCCACCGACCAAGTTATAATGAATCATAATGAATAATCACCGCATCAAACATTTTGTTTTCAATTCAAAATAAAAAGTGCCCCTTCTGATTTGTCTGATAGCCAGGCCTTTTTATTTTATCAATAAAGTTTTCATATGACAATCATTTCTTTTTATTTCAGATGTTGGAAGGTAATTATGACATCGTTTTTTAAGGATTACAGGTGCTACCTAGTTGGACTGATATTGTTATTTTTATTTGTTTTTTTTAATTGAGTAAAACTCTCTTCCATAAGAGAAAATCTATTGGCTCCCACAGGAAAAATAACTTAACAGAGCAAGAGTAAAAACAGGAAACAGCCAAGGAGTCAGAAAAGAGATAAAGATATGGTTAAAGTTTGGAAAAGTTAATTATAGCAATTACACTGGAGTACAACAATTATTACATGTATACTAATCAGTATGCTTGTGAACATCAGTTGTATTTTTGACCAAACACCCTAAATCATTGAAGAATTGAAAGGGAAAAGTTGAAAAATGTCCATTCAAGATATGTATTGCCCCAGGATAAGGTGCCACACACTAACAAATACAAGCCTTCCCTAACCTCTACCTGTGAAATAAGTGTAATCAGATTGTCATTTCTGCCCTCCAGATTTAATCAAATGACAATTATTTAACTTCAAAGAATCAAACTTTCTCAACCAAGTATTAATTTGTTATCGAGGATGCTCTGGATCCTATAGAAGTGCCAAATCAACAAATTGATCCGAGGTCAAAGTTGATACGTGCTCTGGTCAACATAAAGACCTTTGGTTTCGGGTTCCAAAAAGGCAATATTTATTCACCAAATTCTTGAGTTTATTATAACAATTGGTTGGAATGTTGACAAAAAGATTTATGGTTTTAAATTATGTATTTCAGTATACTTCACAAGTAGTGGCCTTTTCAGAGTTTATTGGAGTTTTTATCTAATTTTACCATGATTTTGGTAGGTAGGTGCTTGTAAGTGGCATTCATTTTTTAAGACCAAGTTAATCAAGATAAGAGATCAAAAATACAAAGATAAAAAATCAACACTTTTTGGTTTTATTTTGAAAAGTCACCATAGCAACATCAAGTTCATCTAAATGCAGTTCATTACAAGTAATTTCCTTATATTCAAAAGGCAACACACTTTTTTGACGTCGTTTATTTTACCATTAAATCTGCAGAACCAATTTAATGAAGTATCCCCAAGTATGACACCACTTTGGCTAAAGTGGCAAAGTGTGTCACTTTAATACCAACAAATTATCTAAACAAATGTTAACTAGGGTTTGCCTTGATTGGCAAACATACAAATTATATTGACTTAATGTAAAAAACTGGCATCGGACCAACGGCGGAAGAATTTAACAAACCACAGGAATCATCTGCCTTCTTTCGTTTACTTGTTTTGTGTTAGACTACAATAATTGGCCAATATGCCAGGATTTATCCTGTTGAGCGAAACATCGCCTAAATCTTACTAAGACGTGGGAAAGTTCTACAAGGGTAATACGATATTGAATAGAAGGCACACTTCTCTATTGTTGTGTATTCAAACATGCAACAATTGGACATGTGGGCCCAAAACACCAGCTTTCTTTACCTTTCATGAAATTATCTGTCTGCTCATGCATTTCTCAACTCAATTCTTTAAAATTTGACTAAACTGTCTGATATTTTGCATTTCTCAACTTTTTAAAATGTTCATTATATTTCTATGTAGTTTTTGCTTGGAAGTTTCACTCTTTTTAACTCTTTTTACATTCTAAAATATGATCATTGTCAAACTGTATTTACAGGTATCTAAACATCTGCCTTGATAGTAAATTCCTTGCTGCCTGATCTTCAATGGGAACGTGGGAACATATTGACCTTTCACCCAAGATTAATCAAATCTGCCTTATGATTGGTCAAAAAATCAAAATGTTTCATTAAGACACGAGAGTACCATTTACTACAGATGGACATAAGGACAAACGTCCCATTCATAATGTGGTCGCAACTTGAAAAAATTGACATTAAAATAATTACATGTGTTTAAATCAGCCAGGTGAAATGATGAACTTCAACTTCGTGTGAATTTTTGATTTTAGTGTAAAAGTCAAACTGTTCCAAAGCTATATGCAATCCAATCAACTTAAAAAATTATTCCTACAATATAATATGTTACCATAATTCCTTAATCTGTTATGTAGGATATCCTTAATTATATAAAATCCTATATAAGGACAAGCTTTAGTGTGAAACTACAATCACAACTGGCTACCTGATTGCGGGAAATGTTTTCATTTCTTAGTTAAGCTCCTAAAACATATGTTTTGACTTTCAAGAGTGAGATTTGATTACGAGAAAACGTCAGAAGAAATTTTTTTGACTGTTGATTGCAATAGTTGGACATGTCAGAAAATTATCCAACAATTCAAAATGACATTTAACAACAACATTTAAAAAGATCACAGAATATACAGAAAGGGGGAATAACTGGGAGATAACGCTAGATATGATATTCACCATTGAGTAAAATAAGGCTGTGACATGTTCACAAAAAACAAGATTAACAAATAAATATGTTTTTTAAATACCTGTATTTTTTTAACATGCTAACCTGTTGAAGGCTGGCAATTAATTACAATCTTTAAGCGGGTACCTGTGGCTTACCACAAAATGTGGAATCTAATTTTTTATAAAATTCTAAAATCTAAATATAGGGCAGTGTAAAAGGCAAAACACAAAAAAACATTCAAAGTTATATATCAACTGCCAAATATATGAAATCCTTAAATTGTACAACTCTCCTAAGTTAAAACAATTCTATTATAAAGCCAAAACAAATATCTGATGTCAGAAATTCCAAAATCTGTAGGTAACCATAAGTTCTAGTACATTGGTAACGAAGCATAGAAGCAGGTGGTCCTAAGATTCACAGAGTGATCAGCTGCCTTAAATTTTGTGAAGAAAGCTCTAATGGGGAAGGATCAAATGAGGGATTTTGACAACATAGCAGCTGCATTAAAACATTCTATTCAACAATATGTTGCACATAATAATGATATCACATGGAGGCTGAGAGTTATGCAAGAAAAAATACTTAATTCAGCGATACCATCTTTGGTCCAATGGTATTTCCTTTCTTTCCTGAGCTACGATAACAGTGAAGCCTTGTGTCAAAGGATGGGCTCTGTTGCCAACATCACTTCTTGATATCAGATTAAATAATTTGATGCAATTTAATACATATATACAAGACTTAATAATTTGATGCAAGACTTAATAATCTGATGCAAGACTTTATAATTTAATACATATATGCAAGACTTAATAATTTGATCCAAGAAGACTTAATAATTTGATGCAAGACTTAATCATTTGATGCAAAGAGACTTAATAATTTGATGCAAGACTTAATAATCTGATGCAAGACTTTAATTTAATACATATATGCAAGACTTATAATTTGATGCAAGACTTAATAATTTGATGCAAGACTATAATTTGATGTAAGACTTAATAATCTGATGCATGGATAAGTAATTTGATACATGACTGAATAATTTGATGCAAGACTTACTTGATGTAAAAGCTTTAATCACAGTAAAAGAGGACATTGCATGTTTTATACAGACTTACAAATCAATACAAAAAAATAATCCGATACAAGTCTTAGAGTGATATACAAGTACATGGAAATGAGAAGTCTGCAATCTATTTAATTGGCTATTTCCAATGCTCAATTTTTTTGTCAATACCATATAATCCAATAAAATGTTTTAAAGCGAGGTACTTTGAGGTCTAAAGAAGTAAATCAAAAGTTTTGATCAAACAAATGACTTCGTACTTGTATGTCACAGTTGTCTAATTTAATAACCTTGATGAGAAACTTAATGACTTCATTATAATCAAAACTCACAGTTATGTGACAAACTTTCACACCATTCATGTCTCAATTACTAAAATTAGACATAATTACAAACATTATCGATATTATTTACATATAAATATAAAATGGTACATCCCTTTAGCTAAACGACTCATCATATATTTACCCAGGATGCATCAGCCATCAGCGCACTTATTGGATTTAAAAGCGATAATTTTATTATGACCAATGAGCAAATACAATGCAGATCAACAAAAGCCATAATTCTACCCTCAGTGAATAAGCAATCAGCCCATGAGGAAAATATCAAGATGGTCACATTCTAAAATCCAAAATACACCAAAAAGGAGTGGAATCAGCAAGGAATAAAGTAAACAAGCATTTAGTCAACACCTCAAATTGTATAGAAATACAAGAAAATCAGACACTTTAATCAAATTTTAAAGAGAAATCGTGTTAATAAATGTGAACAGTGATCAACTTTTGGGAAGAAGGCATGTGCCTTGATCAACAGTGAGAGCCAGGTATTCACATAGTCACACGCTTACTAATGTATGTATTGTGTACCCATTGAGGCTTAGAGACTATAAAAGCAACCGCGTGCCACTGTGTACTTCAGTATACACTGTGACTCTACTCAGTGAACACAGAATAGAAAGAACACAGAGCACAGTCAATGAAATAGCGTAAGCTCACATCATATAGATCACACAAATTATTTATTTCTATCATCGATCTACTCTACATCTTTATAAGGCAGCGTACTACATTGACGTATAATAAAAACGGGATATTACATTATAGAGGAAAGTACTTAGACGTATAACTCATGCCAATATGAACTAGGAAGAGCATTTTGGACTCGATTCAGGAATAAAAACACTCAGCTACGGGCACAGTATCAGTTTTCAGAAAAACCAAACAGTATAAGGCACTATATTAAGCCAACATGGAGTTGACATATATTATGATACAACTCTACACAATGTCGCTGACATTAATACAGATGATGAGCCCAACAGCGGCCCAGAAGACATCAAACTTTCTAGACAAGGACTTCAAAGAGACATTTAACTGTAAGCGCCATATGGGTCACCAGATACATCGATGTATGATTGATTTCCTGGATTCACTGAACATGTACCAAAATGAGAAGACGACAGACTTCCAGCGATATCTTCTAAGAGCTAGACTCTGCAGGTAAATATGAAATATATTTTATGGCAGAATATGAAATATACCCACTACCTGGTGGTTTTGGATTGTGATAATAACTCTGAATGGTGGAAGAGAGAGAGGAGGGGGGGGGGGTTAACACTTGTTTCTTGTATGTTACGAGTATGAGGGGATGGTGGGGTTTGTTTCCTTAGCATAGGTTATACTCATCAAAACATTCTTTCATCACAAAGCTAATGGTCACAAAGAATTAAATGGTGGGAGGAAATAGTTTGCATGCCTTGCTACTTAAAGCCATGCACCATGTTTACAAAAACAATGTATACATGGAACCTAATCCATTGGGAAACATGATCTTTCTATTATTGAACTTAAATACAAGTCTAGATATACAAAACAGCTATTCAACCCAACACCATGAATCTATCCAGCTGTAATAGACAATAAATTCCCATACTTGTGCATCAAGAACTTCAATATCAGAAATATCCTCATACGGAATCAATATATACCAGCACATAGTATTTCTCTGGATTCATACTAATTCCTCACAATTTTTCTCTTAAATTTAAATGAAGTGGTAAATTTTCTGGCTTTTCTATACAATTTGGAGTGTTTCCTTCGAGTCTGCTTACTTTATTCCTCACAAATTTCAGCCTATTCCACCCAATTTCGCATTGCAACACATGACCAACATGACAATTCATAAACTAACAAATATGCCAGAAGCTGATTTTTCAATGCAAGAACAGAACACTTTGTTAATTTCAAGCTGCATCCCAATGGCAAAATGTTGCATGTAAATGAAAATGGATCTGTCTTAAATGGATTATGTTAAAAGGCTCGATGATCAATAATGGATGTACCTGTAACAGCTTCTCATACGATTTACCAAACCTTTGCATGTAAACAATAAAATATTACAAAAGTCATGTTTTGAAATGCAAAATAAGGTGGAAAAGAATCAGCTGGGAATGGAAGAAACAGGCGTGTAGTTGACATTCTAAATTGTCAAGAAATGAAAAAAATCAGACAATTTTTTCAAATTTTAGAGAGAATTGAGTGGATGAAGCAATGTGAGTTTCAAAATGTCAATCAAGTAAGATAGAAACAGGATAATTAAAGATGCAAAAAGTAAAATGGTCAATATTTCCTTTGATGAAATCTTCATAAAGTCAATCAATTTTCTACCTGCATCTTATGCATTCCCCTGGTAATTGCCTTGGTTTGAAGTAACTGTGAAGATACCATAACAAAATATACCCATCATGTTATTTTCCTCTTTTTCAATCTCCGTTATAAGAAAGGACAAGTGATAAAATTTATGATGATATATACATGTACATGCACATCTATAATACATTCACGGGATATAACTAAAATTGATGTTTATGATCAATTACACATTAATCAATTTTAATCTGTATCTTGCAGTAATTACTCGATCAGGTTTAAACATTTTAAAAATAATATATTTTGATTTCATCAATGATGACAAGCTAGAAATAAATGCAAAAGTGATTTAATGATCGAAATCCATAAAGCTTACATTTTCTTCATATAAGACCATGATGAAAACAAAATGAATCGTATGGTATTGACAAAAAGCCAAAATAATGCTTTTATGAATAACACGATTTCATTAATTATGTCTTCAGGTATTTTGTACCCTTGTCTTGGTAACATTTTCATGAGTTTTACCTTTGATGTTTCTTAAAGATGTATCTTATCTGCTAATAATATATTTTCAAACAAAGGCCTCTAATAAAAATTTGGCTCATCCTAATACAATACATACTACAAGTACATTGACCTAAACCGCCTCTCTACCACCTTACCTTAACTCAACAATTTCAATGATTTATAGGTGTTTGTTTTCATTTTATCTTAATAATGTTACCATGGTCCCCTTGATATTAACTCAAACAGAGTAGTTAACAAATGGAAAAGTATCAGATATTTCCAGTATTACAGAATGATTAGTATGCTATCAGAATGTCACAGGATTCATCATTGAAACATTAGCGTCCTGATACCCTTGGGAGAAAAGTCAGTCGGGTCTTAATTTAAAATGGAAAATAGTATGAAAAAGAGTGAAATCAGTAAGGAATAAAGTAAATAGGCATGTAGTCACTACTCTTAATGGCACAGGGGAACAAGAAAATGAGACGTTTCATTCACATTTTACAGAGAAATATGTTGAAAAAGTATATGTAAGATTTCAGTGGTGGGTGTAATTTTGAAAATTACAAAAGATTATCTGAACATATGCCGCACCATGATGAAAGTCATGAATTAGGAATATCAATCAGAGATGATTCAAACTTTAATGACAATATCATTCAATTATTCACTGATTCACAGTCGCAAACATGATTAAGTTCAGACCAATTATAATTACATTCATGCAAAGTACTTGAAATCTACTGATTATGCAAAGGATTAATTTGAACCTAAACATGGATACAGTTTAACTATTTTCTTTTTCCAAAATTACTTTAAACATATTTATAAATGTCAAGCTAAGGCACCCTATGGACTTATCCGGATAATATAATAAAGCATATTTCTTGGAAAGACAATTTATTAAGTCATCATAAATCTGCCTCGAATCTAAAAATCTGAAGTTAATTATAAGTTATAACTCAATAACTTCTAAGGCCATTCAATAATTGAATTCCTTTGACCGCAGACTATATATAGAACTAATTCTCTAATTTATATGCATGGATGATCGATATTAAGTAACCCAAACATTGGATGTTTTAATGGAAAATTTTTTGTCTGAAAATGAATAAAGAATTCTCAGTGATGATGAAGGGGTACAATATCAAAGGCAAAATATCAAAGAAAACATTACTAACTTCAATTTCCTCTTATTTCCAAAATGATGATCAAGATTATTATGATGGCTCTACTGGGGGAGTGGCCTCTCCTTTAGGAGAAAATGGGATATAGTTTCTGTGACTCCTAATGATAATATCATATGGCCTAGTATGTATTAACAAACTATCCTTGAAACGATTGATGTTGATTTTTGGAGATTTTGAAGGAATGAAGTACAAACTGTTACAATTAGTCTTCTATAATAAAAAAGCACAATGGGCATCATTTGAAAAATCAATGTGCAACATCAGCTGCAACAATTTGATTAACAACAAAATCAACATGATCACAAATGCTGAATTTCCTATGGTATTTGAGATGCATTGTCTTTGGAATAAAATGATACATTCTGATAATGGATAATATCACGTTCAATTAAGTGACCTGTCATGATTGAGGATACAATAAATACCACTGATGGCAAATGATGAGATATCCGTCCCATATTACCTGCCTCATAAAGTCCCCTCAACCCCATTGTTCAACCCTACCTCCCAAATGCTAATATGTGGAAGTTACCCAATCTCAAAGAGTCCCAGAAAAGTCTCATTTCATGCTTATTTTATACCATTTCTCTACAAAAGTATATAAAGTGCCTTATTTCATTTATTAATTTGTAAAAGAAGTGTTAATCCAATTTAACTCTACTCTATGTACCCCAATTCCTTTGAATTTCTAAACATGTCACCAAGAACATTTTTACTGGTATTATAGAATTGGGTACAATCGGTCAAAGTTTCCAACCTCAATGTATCATAGAATTTTGTCACATTACAAGTAATGACAAACACCCAGGCCAGCCAAACATACTTATTTCCAATTTATTTTATTCTACTTATTTTGATGCGGTATATTAAAACATATCTACATGTTTATTCTGAAATCAGGTAAGAACTTCTAAAAGTATTCTCCATAGAAAATGGAAGGATGATAATCAAACCCAACTGAGGTACTTTTAAGTAATTTATTTGTTACGAGGCTTTCTAATCAAGTTTATAATGATCTACCTGTAACCATGGCAAAAAATAGTCAATATATTAAAACCTTTCAATTTCCTTTTAACATTATTCTGGAAAAGTATACCAGGAATATGGAATATAATCTATTTAGTAAACAGCATGATCATTATACTCTTGAAACATTCCGGAAAACTTGCTTTTCAAAATATGATCTTTTTGCAATAGGACCAATGCATCTTTTATGAGGGGCATGTGTCATTAATGACTGATCCATTATCTCTTATTTTTCTATATTTGAAGTTTAACAGTTGGCAATAGTCGACTATGAATTATTCATCGCTAGTGGTTTGTTTTTTCAATACAACACACATTTGCTGTGTTATATAAATAACTATACGCGTGGCATATTATTCCTGTATTGATTTAAAACGTAAAGCTAAGAGCAATCAAGCTCGATCCAAACAGTTTTTATTGACTCAAAAAGTGTGAATTTTCAAACAAGACAAAGAGGAAATCGAAACCAAATGTATATCTGTTTTATACAGGATATTTGAGAAAAACAAAGAAATTCTGCTATTGCTGGGACAAAGTATTTTTGAAATGATGAAATGAACATTAACCTAACAAAGTAATACATCACCTGCGGAATCTCACTTTCTCGCCCAAACAGAAAACTTCCATTTCATTATACTTTAGAAATTCAGACCAAAGGCAACATTCATAAATGACACCTTAGATCTAATAAAATCTATTAAGGATATTCAGCAGCTATTCAGTTTCAAAGCAGGACTCATAGCCACTAGGAATTCAAATTTGACCATTGTCCAGAGAAACTTGGTGTCAGGTTACAGGGCATTGTTTTTCACAACAGGAATCACAAAGCAAAGAATGATAATTTCACTCCATTTTGAATTGTCGTGAAATCAAAAGCATATTTTCGTGGATGGGTGCTGTGTACACGTGTTGCATTGAATGAAACTTCCTCAATAGAGGTTAATGGTCAAATTGATTGGTACAATATGTACCCATATGGTGTGGTAAAATCAACTGACCCCTCACTTTACCGCAAATTCTCTAATTATAAATTCTATTTCTTATACTTCCTGCCGCCACAACTGAATTCTACAACATTAATTTTACTCATTAATTTTCAATTTGTTGAAATTTGATTCAAAACCTCCAAACCACAATTTGAAAGAATAACAGGTCAGTTTTCAGAAATATGCTTGGAATGATAAACTTCAATGGTTAACAAAACGATATAATTTCTGAAAAAAAATCTTCCTACTGATAAAAGCCCAGGGAGCCTTGATCAATTATAGCCATATTAATGTACTAATGATGCTAATCATGTCTAAACATGCAAACAACAATGCACGGCACAGTCATAGTATTGATAATAAGCTATATTGTTTGATAGGAACCCTTTGTAGGCCCACATCTAATTATGTACCCATCAATTGTTTACATTAATGAAAGTATCAAAATTGAATATTGTCACTTTGTCAAATGACATGTTCAGAAATAACAAAGACCAGAAGTTGAAATGTAACATTTGTGTGGGTAGGAAATTAAATGGAAGTTGAAATTATCAATTTCATATTGATTCAATCAAAAATCTTAAATCTAAATATTGTATTAGGCAATCTTATAAATCTAGATATTTACAATTTAGCGGGCTAAGACAAACATCAAATACTGAAGCAAATACTCAACATTAACTTTATTTGGTTATCCCAGTATCATTAAATCATACCCCCCCCCTCAGGTAAAATCTAAAAAATGGAAGTTTATAAAATAATTACTATTCTCCATTATGGCAAAAAAACTTAATATTACTTTAAACACAAATTCTTCATTGAGAGCAAATGAAGTGTATGTCTTTTCAAACCAGGACAATATTTCTTAAGACTATAAACAGCTTATTTTCTCGCAATTATTTTAAAATATTTGAATATTGAGAATACGGTGGCAATTTAAATTTCAATTTAATGGTTTTAATAGGCATACCATTCCGCTGAACTGAACAATTATTTGAATATTCCTTTGTTAGAAGGCATAAAATAATAGTTTATGAGTTTAACAGACCACGACGGCTCACACCTGAACATAGTCCGCTCTGGAACAATGAATTGCAAAAAGAGGCGTTATTACCTTGAACGGGGTCATGAAAACTTATGACACTGTAACAGAGAACTAATCTAGCAAAAGCACAGTGAAACCTTCAAGAGCAATCCATCATCATTTCTTACACATAAATATCCTATTTTCTTCAGCAATACTTCATAATTGCCCACACGGTAGAATATTATTTTTCCACTCTATCTAATGAAAGAAAAAAACATAACAAACTTGAAGAATATGAAAATTGATATGTTTGATTATGAATATGCGATGCTCTAATAAATAAGGTCAACATGACACAATAAACATTAACAAAGGTTTCTGTTTCAATAAGACTTCTAATTAAATCTATAAGAACTCATTATACAGAATATAAATCATGATATAGAAGTAAGAGAACAGAAGTTGTAATAAAATTGTACAAATGTATACAATTTTATTACAACAAATGAAACCAACAAGAATATCATCAACATTTCATCTAATCCACTTTTCTTTTGTAATTTCAGGGAATACGAAATGTCACTGATGTGTCTCCATACGCTGATATCAAGTTGTCAATCAAACATCAAGACACATCTCCCAAAAATACAGCATAAACTCGGTAAAGTCCGCCCATATATGGATAACGAATGCCACCATCATCTTTTCTCGAAAGAAAAAACTCGTCACCATGACAAACCAGCACCAGATGGTGCTGACGACAAACCAATCAAGATCCCAGAACTAGATTTTGAGAATTCACCATCAGCAGATGGCATTCGACGCAAATATCCAAGAAGATATGACACCACAACATTGTTCCCACCAATTCCACAACAACCGAGGTTAGAGGGTTTTGAAGACTCGACAATGAAACCTAATGTACAAATCACAAATCACCAAAAAGTACATATACATAAACTAGACTTGAAACATATCGATGAAAATCGCCGAAAGAATATCAAATATGGAAAATTGGGCGAACAAAATCTATTGCAGCTTATACTACAAAGTACTACAGATAAAAATGCCACCCCCTCAATAAACTCATTTTCAAATTGGGTACCGATACAAAAAGAGGGAGAATCACAAAGTGCTGAAGATGTCAGCAATGTTGACTATGACTATAACAATGAAGAAAAGGACAATAGAAACAATAACGAGATTAGAAACAAGCCAGTAGAACCGATCAAATATCACGATGGAAAATTAATTCTCAACCATAAATTTTTACATCATTATTTTTCATCCGCAGCAAAGACAAATTCATATCATCAACTGATATTCTCATTAGTTTTAGCCATAGCAATCAGTGTAGTTTTCATATCATAAACCATAAAGGAAAAAAACAGAATTAATTTAAATAATCAAAGTGTCAAACATCAAAGCCAATGCAATATGTAAATAAATGTAAAATAAGATGTATATTTATGTACAAAGAACCTATCTGTGATTCGTGTATTATTTATTTTGCCACATATTCTGTATATAATTTAGCATCAGTTCAATGTGATCTCAATAACATAATATTTCCAATCTACCCATGAATGAAATGTGAGTTTGGTCCCACTTTTTCTTGCAAAAAGATCAAAATGGAGGGATTTCAAACAAATAATAAAAAATATTGGGATGTGCTCTAAACTATATGCAAGATCAAGAAGGAAAACTTTAAATGATTAGCGAAAATATATGAACCAGGTGTGAGTAGATTGACATTTCAAATATGGGAGGACATTGTAAAAAATGCGCATTTTAAATAAGATATTATAATGTTAGATGTGGCAACTCATTTTTGGAACAGTTTTAAAAAACTCAAGGACAGTGGGCCCCTCAGTAGTTTCAAGTCATAATTTAGTGACGTCTATTTTAATGACCGTATACACAGAGCAAAACAGAGTAACAAGAAATTCAATTCAATAAGGGCAACCTCTTCAATTCTTTTATATGGGGTAATTACCCAAGTGAATGTTTTCTTAAATCTGTGGACAAGACTGTACAAGAGACTGTACGAGAGACTCTTCATATAAACTTTTTTATAGACAGATATAGTGCTGAAAATTCTTTTCAATTTTGGAAATGTAGCTTGGAAATGTAGCTTCATAGATCAATGTGTTTAAGAGCCTATAAAATATTCCATACTTTTTAATGTTGAATATGTTTTAAATCAGTAATTTGACTAAAGGGACTTGTTTATCAAAATTATCATTTATTACTAAACATTGATGTATTTTAATAACAGCCCTTGTATTTAGCTTTTAATTATCTGTGTTTAATGCGAAGGTAGCTGTATGTTTGTTTTTTCTACACAATGCACCTAGTTATAAACTGAGAGATACCACACCATGTGCTTCATTGTAAATAAAATGCCATTTTTATAAAAAATAAATTAATACATTGGTTTTGTTATGCAATATACAGTGTACATATATTTAAATACATACTAAATGGGACAGTATGTACATGGAGCTTATTTGGAAATGGAGTAATGTGCTCAAAAAGTCTTGCTGAAAAACAACCTGAAGATGTGATCAAGTTCTGGTGAACTTAAGTTTCCATGGTCCTTCTTGTGTCATGTACCTAATTTGTTATTATATTTGCAAAGTAAATCAGGTTGTTTTTTACTTGTAACTATAATATGAAAATAAACATAACAACATAACATAACAACATAATATAACCCCTGAATAGTGAATACCATGGCCCGCCCTCATAAGGCTAAATAAAAAGCTGAAACTGCATCAAATTCATTCTTTGATCTAATCACCACAGAATATTATAATATTAGCTTTTGGATGATACCAAAAAATATCATATTTTTAAATCCTCCAAATCATGTGGAAAACAAGTACTAATTCTATACCTCACATTATCAAAAGAAAATATAATTCATTTTAATTTTGAAAAAGAGAAAACCAAACATAAAAACGTTTAAAGAGGAAAGGTTTATGTTCATCTTAGTAACTTCCTTCTATTGTTTCTGACTATAGACTTAATGAACTTCAATATGTTTGCTGACAGTAAGTAAGACCTTAAAGCACCTTAACTTGGAACTAACTACACGTAAATGTATTAAGGAGGGCATGTTTTTAAAATCCAAAATAGAGTGGAAAGTAGCGGAAAAAGTTAATAATAATTGTAGAAATATGGCTTTTTATTCTCCATCACCCATAAATGTAACACATCTTATAGTCAATATCAGATGTATTCATAAATGTGTTAATTGAGCAAAATGATTACATCCTATCCTCAATTGCACTCGGGTAAAAATTGTCTGGAAATCATATTTAAGACAGGTTTTGGCACTACTTTTTTAACTGTGTTAATATTTGTTTCAAACCTGTCAGTTATGAATAGTTCGAAACAAGCTTTACTATGGTATGAAGAAAACATCAACAAAATGGTATCTTAGCCAGAGAGGTAAATGAAAAATAAAAAAGTATTAACTTTAAAATGACATGATTTAAAGGAAAAAGTCACATTAGTGAATTTGTGAGACAATGTTTTTAACTATTGCTAACTTTTTTAAATGTTCATCTATTTTCTTTGGATTTCCACCAGTTATTCACAATATTTACAAAAACTGCCTCCAAGAGTTTAGTAATATTATACAAACTATTGAAAGTGTTATGATTGACAAAGGATTGATGATGATTTTCCATTTATATAGAAGTAATGGATCTGGATACATTAGGCTGAAATATGCAAAGCCTCTTTATTGTACAGAATCTCATCAGCTCATGTCAAGAGACATACACTGCTATGTAATTGCTTTTTCAATATAAAAAACTACCTTCACTTGAAGTCAACATTAATGACTGAGAATATCCCTTTTTATACAACTATTGCAACCTTTTCACTGAATTCCTGGCTTTTCTCTAACTATTTTTACATTACCATTTCTAACAGAGGGTATTAATATGTGTCCCTTGTGTGCCATCATTCAAGTTAACATATGAAGCAACAAGTCGTTGGTGTTTTAATCTATGCAGTAGCTTCTCTTTAAATTCCTCTTGTACATCCAAGTCACCATTAAAGCAAGTGGGTGCTGCACCAACTTGAGATTTCAAAAAGGATAACACCCCAGTGAAAGGGAAACAACAGCCGATCGCCAATCACCGTCACAAGAAAACAGAGACCATAACAATATGTCACCACTTTTTAGTAGTGACATAAAAATCTTGGGGAGATGCCCTTTGGAAGATGACCCTATACAGTTGGTCCCTTTACTTCAAATTCATGGTCTTGTCTTAATATTGGGATGTTTTTCATACTGACATTTTTCATTTGAAAATGGCGATGAAATATAGCACATGGTGATATTTGTTGACAAACTGCTTGAGAGTAATCTTGCATCAACAAGACAACGAAGCATTATTCAGGAAGTCACTGTGCTCAAAACATAATTTTGGACATGCTCATTTATGTATATTCTCTCTAAAAATTGATTTCTATACTTGTGTCATATGTCTACTCTGCATTTTAATACAATCAAGAGCATTTAAGTAATGTTGAATTATCTCATAACTTGTCTATTCCAATCAATTTTACTCTAATTTGAGGTTTAAACGTGACAATTACAACATTTTCCTTCAGATTGTGACATTTAATTACAAAGAAAAATGTAATAAATAAAACAACCTTCTTGCTTCGTTTTACATGTTACAAATGGAAAGCATCCCACTGAATACTTTAAAGTAATATATGTATCCTTCCCAGAGGTTAATTGATCTTAGTAAATGCTATTCAGGAAGCGTAAACACGTAAATTGGGAACTAATCCATTTAGGAATGATTTGAATAAATGGATGACGAAACATGAACACTAAATTAAATTCAAATAGACACAAATAGTTAGGGACAGTATCTCTAGGCTGTCTATTACTGGAACAGGCAGATACTCCATCTACTCACACTAATTGTTTTCAATTTCTCTTGAAAATTTGAAGAAAACTATCAGGATTCCTGTATTTTTATACAATTTAGAGTACTGACAACATGCCTCTTCACTTTATTACTCTCTAATTGCACTCCTTGTTTGCATTAAAAAAACGTGAGCCATGTGATATTTTCCTGGAAAGATGTTAATTAAACACCTTATTCCCACGACAATGTGTCATTCCAACCTCATAAATTAAAGTAGGTTATTTCCCATCATGCAACAATGAGATGGTTGAAATAAGTGAACATGATTGGATATTTGTGTTCTGAGACAACAATATAAAAATCACCTATATGGGTAGCTATGTAACAGCCTTTCTAAAGAAACCACTCATGAATAAATCACTTTGCTTTAAGATACTTACATAAATATACCATGGGTCAGGTTGTATACATACCTTTTCTTGCATAAGGTTAGAAATTTCTGGTAAAAATTCTTCCGAGAGAGTTTTATACAGCTCTTTCTCACACTTTGTACGACTTTCCTTAAAGCTCTCAGTGAGTTTTACCCAATCTCCATATATCGAGCATACCATGTGCCATCTATTGGGAGGCGCGTCAGGTACTTTGGCAGCAGTTTTTATTTCTATATTCTCATCTTGAGATTTCTCTGTTTCAATGTCACTGCAACAGAGACATCTTTTAATCAAATTATAATTGACCTTTTCCATTTAAATGGAAAATAGATGGCGTCATGGGTACTGGTAGGGCTATGTAAATGTATTACCAGAGTCACTTAATTTCTTGATTTAAGAAGTAATTCAATTTGGATAAACGTAAAACACTAAATCTCATTAAAAACAAGACTTTAACAAGATTTCAAAGCTATATGGAAAAAGGACCATTGAATGCAAATGTAATACATTGTCCTTGTTGACTTTCAATAGATTGTATAGTAAACATTTAATTTAAAAATATTGCTGCCAAAATCTCAGTTGAATTCATAATACAACAAACACATATAGAATACTCTGATCTGTCTCAACAGAATTACAAATAATGTTAGATTTAGTATACATTTTTTAACTTAATGCATTTGTTACATGCTTCATAAACAAAGCACTAGTCACAAAGGCAACATGAAAATAGAAAATCACCCACGCCCTATAAGCAGGTGAAAATCAAATTAAAATATTACCTCTCTTGACTCGCATACTCTTCTGAGGAATCATGACTTGATTTCTTCTTGCTTTTTCCCCATCCCTTCTTCTTGCGACCCTTTTTGGCTCTCTCAGCACTTTTCTTCTTCTTTTTCTTCTTTTTTCTAAATTATCAAAAAATATTTTGGTTACCATGACAATGGAGAACATTCTGTATATGTTTCAGGTTTCTCAAGATGTTTCACAGAATTTGATCATGAAATATCAAACATCGGTCAAATTTTTAAATTTTCCTAAATTAATTTGGTAATACTAGATTTTCAACAAGGTCACTGTTCCACAACTAGTTACTTTGACGGGACGTCAATGTAACAAAATGGATGAACTTCCTGGTTACGAGTTTTTGTTTTCTCGATTTAAACCCAGTTATAAGTCAAGTAGCAGTTTATAATTTGACACAAGACTAGAAAATATAAGACTAGTTTTAATAAGTTTCTTTGATTTGGAATTTGTTTTGTAAATGAAGTTGCAATTCATATATTTAGCTACTCACTTTTGTTACATTGATGAAAGTCCATTATATTTCCAACAAAATAACTAGTTGTGGAACAGTGAAGGTGGAGCTGAGAAAAAGTATATTCTTTTCACTGATATTCAACATGATATTAGCTCAAATCCTATGTACAAAAATGAATCAGTGATACAAAAGGTTTGAATTCTTTTAATTTAATATCTGCTTTCATCAAGACCATAATTTCAAAACTAAGATTGATTGTCTATCATATTTATAAATATATTCTTCATCAAATATTTCAAATTTAGATGTAAATTACTAAATGAAAAACACAGGTCTTTCATGAGGATTCTTGGCAACAGACAAAATGAATAAAAACTTCATTCAAAATTATCGGAAATTATTTATCACACAAGTTCCTCAAAACAAGACAAAACAAGAGAAAATTGCCCTTTGCTAATGAAACCCCAACAGACAATATCAAAAATAGGCAATAAATATTTTGTATAGCCCTACTTTTTCTTGATGGGCTCCTCTTCAACTAAATCTGGCTCTTCTATTTCTGAATCTTCCCGATATAGCCTAGTACCATAGAAATACCAATAGGTGGCCCCATTGTTGTCAGTCCCTAGTGGATCAAGTCGTAAAGTATCTGCATCTAGCCCCTGAAGAAGAAGCAAATTGTATAAGTTAACATGTTAAATAAAAGATTTTCAATATGACCAGCAATGCTCAAAAACTTTAATCTTTACTCACCATTTTGTCCTCTATTTATGGGGTATAATAAACATTTAGAAATTGATTAAAAACATTTTGCGTCCTTTGAAGTTGAATGTAACTTTATTTAGGCCCTTGGAAACTAGGCAAGATTTTCTCAGCATCAATATTAATTTGCACCAATGTTAATTATCTAAGCGCGCCTTGAACAAATATGTGCAAATTCACACAATTTGTTTATGGACATGGAGGGATATTTATTTTTTGATAATATAGTGGACACCTTTTAATTATACACAAATAAGGCATGAATCTTGATATGGTGAAATACCTTGAATCGGTCAAATACATCATCAGCATCGAGCCGGAAGTCACAAAGTGAATGTAGTAGCTCCACCTTTTGTCTGGCAGTTAGGTTAATAAATTTTGTATCATCCGACTCGAATGGATTTGATTTGTTGAGTTCGTATGTGTACCTATGCCTCACTATGTCCTTAAGGTAGAGTTCCCAGTTAAACTGCCTGGAAAATATAACAACCTTGTATCCCATATCTACTGAGGTTCTAGGTAGATTACATGCAGGAATACATAATGTTTCTAGGAGGCAGGATACAATGTATCCATCCCTGTCCAGCTCCTCCATTTTCATAAGTACAAAAAATGAAGAAAAATACCAATTTAATTTTTTATGGTAATTTAGAAGGTGTGGGTCCCTCAGGATATATATTATTTCCCTTGGAATAATCCCTGAACCAAAAACATCCCAGAACACAACCCTCATATATGTGAACAGTATTGTTGCACTCATATATATGAAATATATTATGCAATGATACATCAACTTATATAAATATATATTTAAATCAATCTTTTTATATTTATATCGTTTTGACCATCTAAACATAGGTGTTACTTTTCACAATATTTCCCATACTTATATAGTATAACATAGTACTATAAATTCTGTCAATTGAGAAGAGATTTCTTAACATTCATGTTAAATAACAAAATAGGATATGAATAATATAAAACAAGACATAAAATTAACATTAGAGAAACGAATTTACAAATGCAAGAAAATCAGGTAAATATTCAGTATCAAAACAATGCAATGTCCAGAACGAAAAATGAGTGAAAAATAATGAGCATATGTATGTCCCGCTGACTAAACACGTTAATTCAGAGATTTTTAATTTACCCGACATCTTTCCTTTGGTAGCATCCTCCAAGAAGTTGCCATATGAGCTCTTCCAACATAGGGCTGTTTTCTTCAGTGCCACTAAGCATCAAGGCATCTTCTAGTTCCTGAAATACAAATGTGAAAATAAAAATACCAGGCTACAATAATAAAATCTTGTGATTAGAAAGTAGCCTGAACACAGAGTTTAGTTGTAAACTAGCTGCGGACGAAGCTCTCTTTTAACAGGAAAAACAAATGAAAGCAAATGATAAGGAATGGGGCTTTTTATTTTTCTTACATCCTTTAGAGTTGTTTAAAGGGCTAATATTCCTTGCAAGCCAATTTCTTCTTGAATGGTAGCTATAACCATTTTTATACTATCCATTTTAAGCGAAACATAGGAAAATGTTTTGATACATCCTCCTAAGCAGGCGTCCAGAATCCGTACCTCCTTCTTCCCCCTGCTATAAGCAGTTAGCATTTCCCCGATTAAGAACTCGCAATTTGATTGGCTGTCGCAACACTGCGACAGAAATCATGTATACGTCATCGGCGCATAATAAGATCACGTGATTCAGTTTAATCGGGCGCGTCCAACTTGGTTATAGCAGGGGGTAAAAGGAAAGAAGATATTCTGGATTTTGAAGCCCTGTGATCGGAGGATGGTTTTGATATGGTCAAAACATTTCATGTTGGCTGTAACCTTTTAAGATTTCGCACAGGGAGTAATGTAATCGATTTGTAAGTTTGCATAGTACATAAGGCAAGAAGAAGGTATGTAAGAAACACAAAATCAGTTGAATATTCTTTTCCATTCATGTCTATGATTTAATGCTTCAAATTATATCTTCTTTTAGGTTTAGGTAAGTTTTTCTATATTTACGTACTATTTCAATATGGTCCACATTTATCCTATACTTATAAGTAGATTATGAGGATTAAGTCTGAATTAAATGTTATTGAACCCTCGTGTAATAATTACAATATTGATAATTATAATCGAAACATTTATAGAATATTTTATCTCAATCTAAAGTTCTTAACATTTATAATTCTTTAAAAATTCAACAGTTTTTAACATTTAGCAGTACATGTATATTAAATTACAATAGGGCCATGGTTATACAGGTACTGTACTGATGAGCAAAAAACAACGTCGGAAATTCCCGGGAATTGCTGATGAGCGGGTGATATATATATCTCCCGCTCACCTCAGCGGGAGATGTATATATTTATCCCATACTTGGACGTGTTACAGGTACATAAAGCAGGTTTGTAAAAACTTATATTTGCATCAGCGGGCAAATATAGCTTTACATCCCGCTCCAAGCGGGCAGATATAGTATATCTGCCCATTACGTCATAATCACTGTTCCCGTATTGGTTCGTTTTTGTAACGTTTGCATACTGTAAACGACAAGGGAGAAAAAACGCAGAAAATCTCGATCTGTTTGATGCTTTTGTTAATAAGCAGCAATATATGCCCTGTTAATAATCAAAGGTTTGAACAGGAAAATCCGGCTACGGAAAAGAATACAAAACTGGACATGAATATTTCAAAATAATTCCACGGTTGGTTGCAAAGTTTCTGAACTGTGGCCAATAACGCAGATGCGAGTAGGTAGTTACCAATTTCACCACCAGGTGGCTCGTTCGGGTCAGATAGCATGGCGGGTATGGTAGAAAGTTCCCTTTAACTTAAATTACATCTGTTTTGGTGGTTCAATTTTCATATAACCCTCATGTATCTAATAGTTATGCTAATTAAAAAGTGTCCAGTGTAGGAAAATGATAAATTTGTCGATTACAAGAAAATATATTTCACTTTTTGTGACTTTGTAACATGGGGTCTATGGGGATTCAACCCGAACTAGAAATCACATTTTCAAAATAAATTAAATTTTCAAAGTTGATAAACAATTTTCGAAACCATATTTCTAGATGTACTTTTACATGTAGATTTCAAATATGACATCACTTTGACTGAATTTTGAATATTCAATGACGTAAATCAAGGTTATTTCTACTCGCATCTAGTTTATTGAACAATGTGATTGGTATGGGATAAACAGATCATCCTATAGTCGGTTCAGGATATTGGGATTTTCCCGAGGCCAATATAATATATCTGAACCTCACATAGGATAATCTCAATTTATCCCATACTTGGACGTGTTACAGGTACATGTTTGTAAAAACTTATATTTTCATCAGCGGTCAGATATAGCTTAATGTCCTGCTCTGAACGGGCAGATATAATATATCTGCCAGCCTGCGACGTCATAATCCAGATGACCAAGATAGAATAATCTCTATATATTTCCTTTACATAATTGGACATATTTTGGTTTTACTCTGTGTCTTTTATCTTTCCAGAAATCATTCCGATTTTGTTGGGATTTTGTATTTGTTTGACAGACGGGATGGCAACATTTGCCACATTTTAGTTCAACGTAGTCAATTCAGGATTTTTTTGACAGGTGGAATAATTACTTCCCCATCGAAATATTAACAGGTGAAATTTTATTTGACGGGTGAAAACCGTGGTCACCTGTCAAATTTGACGGGTGTTGAATTTTTCTTATTTTGATCACTGTCAAGCAATACATACAATGGACATTTTCACAGTGACATCAATGGGCGACATCATTCAAAGACATCTCTCAACTAAATTTTTCAATTCAATACAAGTGTACTCCAGTACATTTTCAAGGAAACACTAGGGGATCTAAGGATCAAGCGATTCTGGTCATGTTACTAAATTAGTCCATAAATTCAAAATCAAAATGGCTGTCGCAGAATATTGTTGTCCTTAAACTTTTACAGATTTTGGTATTAAACAAGATCAGCTTTCATTGCCTAACGCCTGTCACATTTCTACTGGACCATGAACTTTTCCCTAATGGGGGTTTGTGTTCATCATTTGCCTTTATACTCCTACAAGGAAACCTAAATTCAACTTTTGAAAATGTCATTTATAGTAATACCAAAGTTACTATGACATCTTATGTTTATGCAGGAGAGTCAAACATACACTAGCTGAACACGGTTGGAATTTTTGTTACAATAATATCCATCTTACCTCAATGTCAAAATCAGGAAGATCGAAAGCTTCACGAAAAAGCGAGCAGAAATGTGCGATGGATGGCACCTCCCACCAAGAGCGTATTTCTGAAAGAATACACATCGTTGTAGAGGTTTGACTGGTGTTATATGATAATCCAAACCTTCGTGAACGTTACTGACAACTTTTATGAGATATCACATCATAAAGTAAACTATAATAAGGAATATTATTTGACTCACCATCCATGACTCCTAAAATTGTCTTCTTTGTACTCGTTTGAATTCCGGATTCAGCCGATGATTCACGAAAGTCTCATCCGGGCATCCACTTATTGTATTCTCTGGTTTCACTGTTTTTACGCATTTATTTTGTTGTAGCATTGCACCTGTATGTTTTGCAAGTTTCATTTCATGGGTTAGATTATGTTACATGTGGTCTAATCATTTGAATTCCTACAAAACCAGTTCATAAACAAAGTCAATAATGATGCATTCTGGGTAAAATCCAATATGGCTGATAAAATTCTGAAAAAGTAAGTATGATTTACTATTTTGATAATTTTCATGTAATATCTCCTGAATTTCGATGCATTGTGTTATGAGTATTTAATAAAGCTTCATGAAGCATCGTCACAACGCAATTTGACTACTTTCTAATGGCACAGATCGTATAAACAAGCAAATTATTATTGATTTTCAAAACATCTCTCATTCTCTGTTGAAATGAATTTGGGCCACCTAGGCCTACAGTACCCTGCGTGCAGAGTCTAGTTAAACTACACTCTGCCTAGTAGAGACCATATTACAGTTTAGTAACCCCGCCCTCACGACGGGTACCGTTGACAGTTTGGGTAATACAGTGGGGATCATAAAGAATTGCAAAAGCTATGAAAATTACATGCTGTCGCACATGCAATAAATTCTTACCTCAGTGTATTCAGTGCTCTATTTTCTCCGTCTGAGTAAGTCCAAATATAGTGGAATTCGTGTCCCTAATGACAAATAAGAACTTCAAAAGTTGAAGTGGATATTCACATGTTATGCCGACTCTTCAAATGTAGTCAAGTGAACTCGACTTAATGTTGTTGTTTCACGTTTCTTTTTGACGATTTGGATATTTGTTTTTTATTTTTGTTTTCAACATTTGCGTCGAGGATATTAAGCCCTGTATATTGCGGTAAATGCTTTTCTGCCCTCTATGCTCAACAAAAGTTACACAGATAAGATAATGGATCCAATGCTTCAACTAGAATGTATTAACTCTTACCTTAAACACAGGAAATACTTGATAATTGAAGAAATGTAATCATTTTCGTATATGTTTGAACCAATTTCCAATATGGTTCTCAAGGTCACTCAAGGTCACTGAATACTGTCTAAATGTGAAACCATGCAACCAAAACGAAATCGTAATTATTTATTACCAACATATCTGTTTTCGGTTTCTTCACCCTCCTTGGTGTCTGAGAAGGCGATTCAATTGTCATAAGACGATGATAAACTTTCGAGTTGAAATCTCGATCTCAATATGGCTGCTGTTATTTATTGTAATTTCGTTTTTCGCTTCACCTAGAGTTTTACTTTAACACAATCATTACCCAGAATGCATCTACACATGGGGAAAAAAAAATTTCCAGAAAAATCCTTATACTTCTTCAATTATCAAGCGTTTGACGTGTGTAAGGTAGGATTAAATACATTATCGATGAAGAGCATATTCTAATACATAATTTGTGTGATTTTGGTTGCCTAAACAGGCCAGGAAAGCATTTCCCTCAATTTACAACCGGGAAGTGTGTACGACCCTAGTATGCAAGAAAATAACAAAAAATAAATATCCAAATTATCAAAAAATAATGACAAATAAAGCATACGATGGTCGGATTTATATGACTATTCAAATGTTGAGGTGATTTTGTTGCCCGATTGCGCCGGAATGAAGGATTGGCTCCCAGAATGCAACATGGCACATGCCAGCTTTCAAAATGCTGTTCCGCCATTTTGAAATCTGTCATGAGTAAATACGGTAACTGATGTTGCATTCTGGGAGTCAACCGTCCTTGGATAACAAACATGGCGATTCATGAAAACATTCATTCGATTTGGTAGGGATTTATCCATTATTTGCAGGTATGAAGCTTTGGATTCATTTATTGTGCTACTTTAGTGAACGGGAATTATTTTTCTACCGCTTGGGAGAGTTTGAGACACGAAACTTGGAAATTAGCTCATTGTGACAACTTGTGAACGTTGAGTTTTATTTTTGTCCCCCACTGTAAATCACTTTTGACCTACGCGCTGACCTTTCTTCCACCAATCAGTGAGCTTGAAGAAACATAGGCCAAATGCGTTCTAATCAAATATGCATGTCATTGGTCAATTTCGGGCTCAACGATGACGTCAGAAGGAATGACCATATATAGAACGTCGGTCAAATTTGGCCGACGGACACTGATTGGCGCGGTGAGTTCATAGGTTTATTTTAGTTTGAAAGAGGAAAGAGTGAAGACAAAGCTCTCTTTTAAGAAGAGAAGTCAAACGAATGCAAAGGGTAGGCCTACAGGCTTACATAGGATGGATATGATGTAGAGCTGGCATCAAATGTCAGAATGGTCGATTGTCAGTCGAATGCTCTCTGCGACACCCATGTCGACACAACGCCTCTTGATCGACAGTCGGAACTCACAACATAATAAGCTATTTCCCTATGAATTAAAATCTTTGTTTCTACCTGCTGTATGGTGTATTTTAGTTAAGTTTTACCGCCTACAGTACATTTTCAAATTTTCTTTTTTGTTTTGATCGACTTCCTGCTCTCGAATTAGGTCTCGGGGCCCCTTGAGATTTACCCTCGAGATTTATTATCCCATCGAACGAAGTTCGGAGGGATATAGGGAACGCCTCCGTCCGTCCGTCCGTACGTACGACTGTACGTCCGTCCGTCCGTCCGTCCGGGCAATAACTCAAATACCGTTGGCCCGATTTTGTTCATATTTTGTACACATATACCAATGGGGATAGAAGTTCTGCTCGAAAACGGATTTTCAAAATGGCCACTCATTTAAAAATGGTGGCCATTTTAGTGCCGATTTTACAGTTATTTAGGTACTGCATATAAAACTGTAATAGCAATATGTTTTAAATGTAAAAAAGTTATATAGGACATTGATTAAGCTAGAAATGTAAATACAGAAGAAATACATGGCAGCCATCTTGAAAAATGGCTGCCTTTGCACGTCTTTTTACGATTTTTGCTGTAACTTGAAAAATAGTGGAGCGATTTTGTTCATATTTGGTATGTGAATACTTTAAGCATGACACAATGTATAGTTGAGTGATTTTGTTCATATTTGGTATGTGAATACTTTAAGCATGGCCGAATGTCTAATGACATTTTGGGTAGTAGGGGGCCATTTTGAAAAATGGCTGCCATTTTTACGTGTGTTATTTTACATTTTTTACTATAACTCAAAAATTAGTAGAGCGATTTTGTTCATATTTTATATGTGAATACTATAAGCATGGCACACTGTCTAATGACACTTTGGGTAGTAGAAAAATGGCCACCATTTTTTACATTTTTTTTACTATAACTTGAAAAGTAGTGGAGCGATTTTGTTCAGATTTGATATGTGAATACTTATGAACCTTGCACACTGTCTCATGACACTTCGCGTAGAAGGTGGCGATTTTTAAAAAATGGCCGTCATTTTTACATTTTTGCTATAACTCCAAAAGTATTGGAGTGATTTTGTTCATATTTGATATGTGAATACTTGGCACATTGTCTAATAAAACTTTGGGGAGTATTGGGCCATTTTGAAAAATGGCCACCATTTTTATGTGTTTTATTTTACATTTTTCATTATAATTCAAAAAGTAATAGAGCGATTTTGTTCATATTTGATATGTGAATACTCGTAAGGATTGCATACTGTCTTATGACATTTTGGGTAGTAGGCGGCCATTTTAAGAAATGGCCAGCATTTACATGTATGCGTGGGCGATTTTTTAAAGATTTTATATGTGGCTACTTAAAAGCATATTACTTCTTCTGATGACAACTTGGCTAGTGAGCAACCATTTTGAAAATGGTGGCCTTTCTTATGTGTGTTATTTTACGATATTTGCTATATATTTTGTTTGTAAAATGCCAGCCATTTCTGTTCGATGGGATTCGCTACGCTTTGGCGTTGCCATTGTTCTGGTTTTCAATGGCTGCCCGGAAATAACAACAGAAATCGTAGTTTTATGTCTATTTATTGCTTTTTCTTCAAAGTCCGATACTTAAACATGGTTTACATGTAAGTTAAATATAAAACATACAAGTGAGGATGACTATTGTGCAAAGTATTGCTAATTACAAGCCTAGAAAATCTAAAATTCAGACTGATATTTTCAAATTTTTTCAAATTTTTCGAATATCGTTGGACCCGACAATGTCGATATCATTGTCGATCGAGAGCTCCGACATGTCGACATTAAAATCCTATTCGATGCCAGCTCTAATATGATGCCAAGGTCGAATGTGTCATGTAAACAAGAAAATGCAGCAACTTCATTGCTAATATTGCTGAAAAACTACCATTTTAGTTTATTATACTGAAGACATGACACACTTACTTAGCACACCTGTCTAAACTAGCTTTATCCAATTCCAGTTCTATAATCCTGCGACAGGTCCAATCTGTTGCCTGCAATAATATAACCATGGAGAAAAAACCACGGCTCCTTCACTTAAAATACTTGCCTCAATATATTCCTGAGTATTTAAGGATTTTTTTATGCAGCTGAATCCCCAATTGTATTGGTTTATCGGCAGAGCGAGAAGATTTTCGTGCTACATCTCCAGTCTCCACATATGTCATTTCTTTTCAAGATTGTGAAACTGGAACTCCCTTAATTTGCAGAGCTCATATATACCAATAGAAGGGGGAATTATGCAATTTTCTCATTCTGCTGATTAACCCATACGATTGGGGTCAACTATATATAGAAATAAATAACTAAGTATAAGAATTATTTTCATGCAGTTGAATCTCCAATCTAATGATTAATTGGCAGAATGAGGAAAATTTTGCAAAATTCCTCTATCTAGACTATTGTTTACGGTTATATATATTATGCAAGTGGATCCAAGAGATTTTGCAGGGGTGGCATGATACATACATTTCAATTTTGTATATAGTGAATTCCCAGCGATTGATTTCAGTACAGTTAAACTGTCATAATGAACACCTCTTTAGTGAAGATCTGTGCCCAGTGGACA